AAAAAAAAAAAAAAAAAAAAAAGAAAAAGAAAAAAAAAAGAAACAGACTCCAATTCTCTCCAATCCGCTCTTACTTTCTGTTAATTTATTATTTGAACATTATGTAAAATTATAAAATTATTTGTAATTTATTATCCAGCGTTGTGAGATTATTTAAACTCGGAGAAGGGATTTTTATATCTCGCTCGTTCCAAAATCCCGTAGACACGTAGAACAAAGGGAACTGATGGAATTTAACTTGTGACTTGGAAGATTCGATCATTGGAATTTAAAGAGAGGTATCTTGCTTTTATATTCAGTTGACAAAACTCTTTCGCAAAATACGTGAGTTTTGAACAAAATTGGAACGCAACATCAAGGCGATGTTGATCCAGTCATCGTTCTCTCTTTTCTTTTCCTCTTTCCAATGATGGAATTGTTTATACTTGAACCATTTTTATTTTGTAAATTAACAGAAAAGAGATATTATCCGATACTTTTCAAACGCTCGTTAAACCAACTAAAAAATAGAATAATATTGGTCTAAAAATTATTCAGAGAAAAAAATATTCTACGAATTTGGCTGAATCGACATTTTTACACATGGAAAAAAAAAAGAAAGATTTTCAATCCTCTTGAAAGAGGAAGGTCTTGAAGAAATGTAACAACAATAATGATGCACAAATAACGGCCCTGTGTATCTATGATACAGTCACGACTTATATCCACTTGTACGGTTAAAGGATACTTGTAAATAAATGTAACTTGTAAAAACCTAATAAAATACATAGACATTTACAATCTGTACGCGAACGAAAAATATATACCTCGTATATTACTGATCGGTTGCTTTCAAACCACAAATATCACAGGCAATTTCAATTTCCTTGAAGATCAGCTTGCTCAGGCCCACAATGTATCTCTGTATGTACCGATCCATGTCGAAATTCTGTAAAATTGAACAAACGGTTCTTCTCATCGTTTAATTTTGACTCTCTACATTTCTATTATGTTCCATGTTTCATTGTCTTTTGTGCAAAGAAGCGAAAAAGAAGATATCACCTTTAGAAAATTGTATGTAATAGTACAAACTACATTTAATAAATCAATGTATATCCAATGATTTGTATATACCCAATGATTTGTCGTACTTTTACTATCTCGTACTGCCTGTTCCTGCAAATTACAGGAAAAGAAAAAAATATTCCAGACCGGATTGAATAAGAATAGTCGGACAAAACGCCCATGGAGGTCCATTCATCTTCCGGGGTGCCGTTCCACATGATTTTACAGTGCTCCGCCAACCCGTATGCTATAGAGTTGACGAGGCTTGACCTACAGGCGACGTTTTGAATAGTCTAAAGAGAAGAAAAGAGAGAAGAGATATTTAATTTCGTTTCACATCGTTTGCGATAAGAACAATTACACGCAACTTCGCGTTGTAATTCAGCTATTGCAATTCGCAACTCTGCACAGAATTCTGACGAGATGGGGCTAGAGTTTGAAACTTGGAGGGAAGTTTGAAAGCAAGGCGCCAGATACCAACAGAGATACCTCGTTTTCATATTTTCATACGCGTGAATGTAATACGAAATCTTCTCTGTGAAAATTTTCCACGCCAAGCATTTCACTTTATAAAGGATACAGAGGATACATTTGACGTTACAATTGCTTCTCTCGTGTCGAAAATATTTAATTTCCGACAGATTAAATGTTTCTCAAAGAGGGGTGTTTCGATCTGTTCGAGTGTGAGATTTGCAAAATTTTATGCTTGTATTTCGCGACTCAAGTGGAACAGAGGAGAAAAGGTGAGGATCTAAAAAACGAAGATGCAACTGCAAAAGTTGACAAATTAATCTTTTTAATGGCTTTTTTCTAAAAATGAAAATTTCTTCGATTCATGGACGTGGAAACGCTAGCGTCGCGTAGCGGTGAAACGACGGAACTAAAAGTTATCGCTGTCCTTGTCGCACAATAGTGCGTCCCTTGTCTAACCAACGGAATGTTTCGATGTATAGGGTAGAGAATTTCAAATCTTTATTCGTACATTTTATCAATCAATTGAAATATAGAAAGAAAGCTTAGACGCCGAAACCGGCCATACAACTGCAAAAGTTGACAAATTAATCTTCTTAATGGGTTTTTCTTGCAAATGAAAATTTGCTCGATTCACGGGCACTGAAACGCTAGCGTCGCGTAGCGGTGAAACGGCGGAACTAAAATCTATCGCTGTCCTTGTCACTCACTAGTGCGCTCCTTGTCTGTCACGTTGCATAAGTCTGTCCTTGTCGCGTACTATCGCGCTCTTTGTCTACGGATGGTGCTGCCATCTAAGCTCTTTCATTTTCAACTGGAACTAAAAGCAGAAAAAGGAAAAATCCGATAGATGGCAGCACCTGATTTGTTCATTGGCCTGACGAGGATAGCAACAATGTGGAACAAGTACAGATATATATATATATATGTGTGTATATATATATATATATGACGCGCAGAGGTATCCTTGCAATGAGCAGAATAAGATGAATGATAAAGTAAACAATAAAAAGAATTTTTTTGTAACAAATCTCGGGAACTTTTCTCATTAAATCTCTGCTGATCTAAAGGTGTAGAATCCACTTTTGACCGCCACGACAAAACAATCTTTTTTGCATCTTGTACAATGTATGTTTTGTAACTTCATAGGACAGTTTTAAATAAAGAGCATTAAACAAAGAAATTAAACAAAAAAGACTGCTAGAAGAGAGTTAAAGCATTAATCGCAATGAAAATTACATGTGCTTTAGTATTAATATATTATTTACTCTAGTATATAGCGGGAAATGAGGAACTTACACAGGGAAGAACGTTACTGATCCAAACTTTTAAAGCATCAGGCAAAGGTTTCCCACTAGTAAGACGAATATATCTGCAATCTGGGAAACTATGCGAACCGTTTGAGCCCCAGATTATTATATTTTTTACTTCTGTTGGAAGACATTGTATTCGTGCAGCAATCTAAGCGATATAAACTGTTTATTTCTAAAGAATTGATATGAATATTAAACAATTCGATGAATGATTAAATTGTTGGCTCAATATTAAAATGGAGTTACATATCTAGATGATAGAATAAGAGACAACATGCACTGGATTCTAAGAGGTACCTGTCCTGCAACAATATTTAAATTCAACAGAGACAATGTAGTTATGTTTCTGATAGGAATAGATTTCACATATTTGGATATGATTGTGGCAGCAGTATTTCCAAGTACAATGATCTTTGCATTCCTTTTCACGTACCTCTCTATAACTTCACCCTGCAGATGGTATACAATAGAATTTATAAATACTCGATAGTTTAATGCTACATTTGATGAGACATAAACAATTAATGTACGTAAAACTTGGAATTCAAAACGTGTTCCTCAAAAAATGGCTCCAGGTATTCATTATCCTTAAAGTCATACTCCCTCGCGTAACCAATACAAATTACAACATCTGCATTTTTGAATTCAACGGAAGCATCATGACCGTAACTAATGCCTATTCACACTCAAATTGATAATCAACTATGTTGCTGCAGCTTAATCTAATTGTAGCAAAAGTAATTGAGGTATTGAATAAAATTAAATAGAAATAAATGGGTCTTTTCATCAATCTAGTTACATAAGCTAAAACCAATTTTTATATACTTTTTTTATTCATATTATATTTATTATTTTAAGCATACAGTTGCCATTGAAAACTCAAACAACATATCATAAATAGTCTGTGTGCGGATGATTATGCATTTATGCAAAATTTAAAAGTACAAGTGTGCACAAAGAATGCATGTAATATCCAAAAGTATAGCGACACTTTTCATAGGTAGCATAAACTTACACAAGCATCCGTAGTCTAATCATAAGAATGTAACGGTGTATGGATGTTTACCACTTAAAAGTTTGGGACTGAAAGAAGTGAGTTCAATCGCCACGCTCTCCAAAAAGATCGCCTTACGTGGCAATTCGTAGAGGCTGATAAAGACAGATTGATTTTCACCAAACACGTTATCATTCAACATTCTATACAGAAACGAACGTGCAAGTTCTGTTGTGCCGTCTGTAACGACTATTTTCAAAGCATCCTCTTCACTTTGTAAATAATTGCCAAGTACAGATTTGTTACTTTTTAAAGTAACTATCTTTTCACTCTTTGCCATTTTGTTGCAAACTCACATTCTATTCTGCTTCATCATTTATCAAACAAATGTCAACATACATCGTAATATTGTGCATTTTGTTTTTCAATTTGAAAGAAAACGGAGAAAAAATAAATGACTAAAGACATAGTTACAGTCATCGAATACAGTATAATTGTTTATTATTTATTAGGTGCGTAAGTTATTGATACACTTTTCCAAAATCTCCTTTTTGATACGTGGATAATCGGGACTCTGTTTCAAGACCTCGTTACATGCTTCTATCCCGTCTGCGTATGCTTTCGCTTTCATCGAGCAATAAGCTAATTTATAAGCGACAGACAATTTTGACTTTCCACCATACTTCCACGCTTGGCTGTATTGCGACGCAGCTTCGCGGTAATTTTGCTCCTTTTCTGCAATGTGTCCAGACAGTTCGTGAGCTCTAACACAAGTGGCGTTGTGCTGCAAAACACGTCTTAAAAGATCGTTTGCCAATTCGTATTTATTGGATTGAACATAGATATCCGCTAAAAGCAACCAGCAACGTTCCAGGTACTCCGCGTCCTCGAAGGTCCATGTATTCTTACTGACACGTTTCAAATGGTTTCGAGCTCTAGGAGTTTGCTTCAGAAGAACGTGGGCCATAGCCATGCCTAAGGCCGGTCCTACGTGATCTCTCAGTGCCTCTTGACTGGCTAATACGGTGCAATCCTGCAATGCTTTCTCTACGTTGGATTTTTGCTTTGTAGCAAGCAGGAAGAAATTGCTTAGCAATCTGTGTGTCAACATTTCGTGTTGACTACCTTTGGGATTCAATTCCTACAATAATGAAAAAAAAAAGAGTCTTTCTGACGCATATCGATGAGAGACAAGACTAACAAATGCAACATTGTTTCATTTAAAATTTTTTAAATTTAAGATCGTAGATGCACCATATGAATCTTTTTCTTCTTGTTCTTTACCTGTAACAAGCGAAAGGCTGTTTTCAGAGCCATCGTTCTGGAATCTTGATACTCGGCATCGTCGTCGTTGAAGACCTCATTCGAGAGGGAGGAGTCGTCATCCGGGTCCAAACAAATCTCAATCATATTGTATATCGCCTGTTGACCCCATTCAGGATCGCGTCTCGCGAAATTAAACTGACGGAGCGCAGAATTTAATCGACCCATACGCCAATCTAACAAGCCCGCGCAATAGTAATAGCCAGGCGTTAAGTTTGCATCGCTCATTCCTAGCTCTGCCCGATGAAGCCATTCCTGAAGGTCGTCCATATCCCCTAAATATTTTAGTTGTATCATAAATAAGTTAGTCAAGGAAAGACATCGAGGAATGAATACAAACTGAGAGATTAAAAATTTTTATATCAAGTTTACCAGTTCTACGAGAAACCTCTATCAATCTTGCTAAAGCGGTCCAGTAGGTTGGCTGCTTCAACAGTAGCTGCCGAAAATGAAACGCTGCTGTGTCAAAGTCGACTTTTCTGAATGCAAGATCAGCCATCATTATAGAAGCAGCTTCGTTGTTGGGATCCGCGTTCAACAAAGCTGTGCAACTTTGGGCACATCGATCCAAATTGTTTGTCTATCGGTTTACAGCAGTATTAAACGTTGAGCGTAAACGATGAGTCGATAAATTACAACGCATTAATTACAACTGCAATTCACCTGCATATAAAGTTTTGCTAAAGATAACAGAGCATTTACATTCGCAGGCCTGTAATTCAATGCTTCTTTGTAGTACATGATAGCTTGATCATATTCTCTTAGAGAAGAGGAATGATCAGCCATTGTTAAACAGATATTGGCCAAAAGTTGTTTCTCATCTTCCAAGCTAGAACTTCCCATACGTTGGATGTATCGGTGCAGGTTCTCCTTTGCTTCTTTCAATGCTGACAAAGCACCGTTAATATTGTCTGCCTTTTCTCGAGTTTTGGCGAGCAGCAGCAAAAGCTGACTACGCGCTTCAAAGCTCTTCAAATCTGAATCTCGTCGACCGTCTATGACAACAAAAATTATTTCAAAATTAAATTAAAAGGACTCTACATTTAAATTATAGTATATGCAATTACTATAATTATCAATAATTTCTACCTTGCAATTCTTGGACCAACGTAACTTCTGCTTTATCATACTGCTTCATTTTTATGAACAACTTTGCGAAATCCAACTTTAAGCTTTTAAAGTTGTCTTGTTTCATCAAATCTCTGTAATAATTGATGGCTTTTGTGTACTGATGCGTTTTTATAAGTGCCTTTCCTAGCTTACTTGCTACGTGCACTTTGTTCACGGGATTTTGTTTCAGAGCTTGCTCATATGCTTCTATCGCTCTCTCTGGCTCTTGTATTGAGACATACGCGTCGCCGAGCATACTGTATGTCTTGGGACCAGGACAGTGTTCAACCAACTCTCTATAAAGAAGAAATGTTTCGATAATGATTAAAGAAAATATCACAAGAAAATGTATATAAATGGTTCGTAAAAACCAGACCTGAAACACATAGCAAAAGCAAGACGATCCTTTTTGTGTTTCAAATTTATCTCGGCCAAACGTGTGTGTGCTTGCAAATAATAAGGTTGATCCGGAGTTACTTTAGACAAGCAGTCAATGGCACCATCCAACTCCCCCATTTCTAGGAAAAGCTCCGCATTTCCTATCAATATTCTACCTTCTTCCGACGTGTTTCCAAGTTTTACCTTTGCATCTTGTATTACGTTCATCGCCTCGTTGAACTGTCTCACTTTTCCAAAAGCAGAAATTAATTCCAGATACAAAGTTGCCACGTCTGACGTTGAAACATCTAGGCACTTTTCCAAAGTGCTTTTGCGCGATTGAGTCTCTGCTAATGACATAGCTGTCTGAAAGCTTTTTATCGAGCCTTCGATATCGTTCGTTTCTTTCTGAACCATACCAGTAATCAAGTGATAAATTGGATTGTCTCTGATCTTGAAATTGTAACTTAAACCAACTTCGAGACTTTGCGAGGCAGACTGGTAATTCCCTTGGCGAGCTAGAATCTGAGCCATCAGCAAATGAGCTTGCGCATTGGACGAATCAACGTTGTCTAGAAGATTTCTTAGTATGGACGAAGCTTCTTCTAAATCTCCACTCTGCATTTTAGCTTTACTCAGCAATAACTGTGCCACACTCAGACCAGGGTATGCTTCTGATAACTGCTCCAACAAATACAAACTCGGCTCTTTGTAATTGGATGCCTTTTCTTCCAAGCTTGTCGTGTCATTTGTAATGGGATAAACCAAACGTTGTTTGGAAATTTCTAAACATAAATCCGGATTTAATTTCTTCATATAATCGTAACCGTATGGAACGTATTTACAGTTGTTCAGTATGATTGTGGCTGCACTGTTCAAGTAATTCAGGACTCTGATGGAATCATTGGATTTTAATTTGGCGGACATGAAAAACAATTCCGCGTCCACTGAATTAGATTGTACCTCCAGCAGAAAGTCTATTTGCTGCTGCGCCAAATCCAAGGCGTCAACCGAAGTGTCTAAAAGCTGACAATGAGCTAGTCCCATTAGAGCGGCAAATGACGACTCGTTTATTCTAACAGCGCTTCTGTACCAATTTTCTGCATCTTTCACTTTATCCAGCGAAACGTACAAGTTCCCTAATTCCACCATGAGATCTGCACTTTTCGTATTCTGTTGCAATGCCTTTTCAACGATCCTAGATAGCTCCAATAAAATTCCTTGATGTTTGCAAGCTATTCGTGAAAATAATTGAATATTGTTCACCAAAACCGTAACGTTCTTTGTTTCTATAATTATCATATTTCTGAAAAATGACTGTAAATGTTTCAGTCCTTCGTTGTAATTCCCATCTCTGCAAATGTTTACAAATGCGTGTGCTTTTATCGCATCCAAGTTGTTCGAGTCGATTGACACTATTCTATTAGCAGTCTCCAAAACTTGATCCCAATCTTTCAGTGCGAGTTGATTACATAATTTTTCTACCAAGGGTAAACATAACTTGGGATATCGTACAATCAACGAATTCAACGTTAATATCGCTCCTGCGTAATCACCCTGCCGTTGCTTGTACCTAGCAGATCCAAGCAAAGCATTTACGTTCTTCGAATCTTGTTGTTGCAGAACAACATCAAACAAGTTGGTCTCGCTCAAGTTTTCCTCATTTACGGCGAACAATTCTACCCAACCTTTTGTTAACAAAACATTTTTATTGGATGGATCAAACTTGTAAGCTCTCTCCACGTAATCTTTAGCTTTGTCAACTTTCTGGGACAAAAGCAACATTGAAGCTGCTAAAGACAATGCATTCGCAGACGATTTTCGTCTTTCGTCTCTAATTCTCGTTTCAATCTGTATAATAGTGGTTTTCTCAACATTCTCGGCTTTTGTGTATGCAATATTCTGAAGAAGCAACGCTGCCAGCGTGGTATCTGCATTATTCATTAAGCTTGAACTTTCTTTGATCGCCTCTTGTATCTTTCCAGTCAGTACGTACGCAAGACTTAGAAGAATTCTCAAGTATTCGTTTGTCGGATACACCTCGCATGCTTCTTTGCAATAGAGTAACATGCCATTGTAGTAAAATTGATGGCAGAACCACTCGATTAAACTAATGTACTCTATTTCCTCCATTAGGGAAGATTAATTACAAAACAATTCGATTAAAGTAATGTACTCTATTAGTAGTAAGAAGTAATAATGAATTTTAAATCATCGGTCGGTAACTTAATTTGATAATTATACAAAATTGCAGTGATTATTATCGTAACACATTATTATTTATTAATTAAGAATATATCAAAAAATCTTCCGGATCAGGTAATTCGTATATAATGTCAGGATCCAAAGGTTCTGAATCAGGTCCCTCTAAAATATGCGGCGGTCCAACGATATATTCTTCAAGATCTGGATTCTTAGTTGCAAGATAATACTTCTGCATGTATTCGCATGTCAAGTACATGTACAAATAATTCAAAATGACATATGTGAATGCTGTCTGAAAGTATAAACATTATCTATTTGAGTTGGGTCAATATACAGCTTCAAGCATAATTTACACAAACAGTTATTTGTGTGAAATTACAAGAAATTTGAAAATAAATTTCACCTCTGTGAGCAATCGAGCTATACCTCTTCCCCTATATCTGTGTGGAACGTTAATCACTTGCATATCCAAGACCTTTCCTTGTGCTTTGTACTGCAACACTGCTCTTGCTTGTCGTCAAACAAGAAAGATATAAATAAATACATTTTAAAATATTGACAACATAAAAGTCAAGTTTGCCTCATTATTTCCTCTTAATTTTCAAAACCTGGCCAATATCAGAAACTTAGAGAGTGGCAATATTTACCAAGCTAGGGTATATATCAAAATATCTTCTGACTCAGAAAACTTACATATATTGTAATATCAGTAATTATGTATATCGCATAATAATAATGTTAATAATTCCTCGAATTAAATATATATCTTACAATTCTCATCCAATTTGACGTAGAAAAGACCTCGATTTTCATTATGATGCACTGCATAAAACATCCGTGTGAATTTATTTCTTTTGACTTGTAGCGACACAAATGACGATAATTTGATCATGTAACTCATACCATTTGTCACATATAAAAAAACTACTACTTACAGATTCACTTAAATCTACATAAAATTATTACGTTTTCTAAAATTTTTCAACGTTTGATAGGTTAGATTTTTGTTGTCAAACGCTGTTGCTTAGCAACAAATGTAACAGAAACACAATCATTTTCAAGAGACAATGATATTTAAAGGAAATCCTTCATTCATAAATATTGCAGAATTGTAAAGAGAATTTGTATAAAACAGTTGCAGAACATATACAACAACATATAAAACCAATATAAACAAGTAAATCAATTTACATAGAAATGAAAGTAGTTTTCAATTCTATTTTATAATATCTCATGCATTTATTTATTAATATTAAAATCAGTACTTAAAGTTATAATGAAAATAGGTCTTTCTTAATGACATAATGTAAACTTGTCTTCAATATTCATCGATGCATCACACCTATAAACATTAATATATACTGATACAACAGTACTATGTCAACATAAATTTGAGCTGTTGCAAATACAACTTCATCAGGATTTAATTCTATTCTTCTTCCACCCATGATCGTTTGCACGTCAAAGTACAAATACTAGAAAGCAGATGATACTTTTTTTAATTTTTAAACGTTCTTTTAGAATAGAATAGAATATGCTATTATTTAAATGAAATAATTTTTTCAAAGTATAGATTAATTTTATATTAACCATTGATAATAAAACCATCCCTATAATTGAAATTATCATATGTAGTACTTTTATGTATGTAAATAGCAAGACTATCATTATCGCAACAATTGAAACAATAGAAGCCAGTCCGACAATCATCAGCAATCCTGTTCTCATTGTTAAATCAAACTGTAACATAATTTACATCATTTACGATTTTCCAGTTATTCTGTATGTCGCATAAGGTTTTACAACTGAAAGTACCTTGGAAAACGTTGCAATAAAACCTATTCCAAATGTAACTAATGTTGTCATAATCAGTGCCATTAATATTATTTCAATCTCGAAAGAGACTGATACAAAGGCAGCCAAGTATGACATAGAAAGTGTCTGGAAATAGTCTGATTTTTTAGTAGTGTATGTAAAATGATATATAAAGACATCTAATCAACGAGATTTCAATGAAAACCTTACCAATTTAGTTAGCCATATATAATTGCAAGGTGATTTGCGTCTAGCTCTCTCAGACAAAGATATGGCGCAAAAGGAGATCATGAAGCACAACCTAATAAAATTACAAATTATTCAATAGGTAATATATCTAAAATATTTGCAACATTTACGTACATGGCTACAATCCACAAATACCAATGAAGTATCATAAATTTTCTCGCGTCATCCCTGCAATAAATTTATTAGAAATAACATACGTAACTTTGTAACTTCAATCCATTGCGATATTATTGATATTGTTAAAACATCGTTATAGTAATATAACGCTTACACAAACAGAAAAAGCGCTATAATGCCAGAGGTAAATAGTAATTGAACTGTTAATATACAGAAAACTTTTCTAATGAAATTTCTTCTCACTGTATCATCTTTAAAGTCACCCATGTATTCTGACTCATCGTCATTTGGCCCCATTTCTCTTCTTCGTTGTTGCTCGCGCCAAGCTCTGTACAATTCTTCGTTCTCCCTTTCTCTCTGTGCTACCATTTCATCCGTAACCGTAGTAGTATATGGTCCCTAATAACAGGGATTAAAATTATTATTTCATAATAGACCTGTAATTGTACATAATTCTTTAATACTCACTGTTTTTATCTTCTGTCCTTTATACAAAGGAGGAAGTTGCGGAGGACCTGGTATAAATTTCTGAGTCTCTTGATTTTCTTCCATTAGACAATTGCAGCGACGATGTACTAATGAATATTTCAATTGATAATTACATGTATATTACAATTTAAATACCAAATAAATGCATCTGTTTATCAAACTTCATCTTTTTCTATACACAAAAATACATTCCAAAAAAAAAAAAAAAAAAATTGCGTATGTACAGATTTATACCTACAAAAAAGTTGGTTGCTTCTTAATTTTATTTAAATGCAAACTCTTAGGACATTGATACAGAAACATTATACGCATACGTAAAATGTCAAATTAATTCATAGACAAATGAATGCATACTGCGATGCAAACAAATAAAATTTTTGAACCTGTAGTAGTACATAAATATACATGTACACATATGCTCGTCACACACATTGACAGTAATACTTAAGATAAAAGAAGGGCGTAGAAAGCGAAAGTTATTTTAATTTTCTTATGATGATACAGTTTGTTCGTACAAGTGATATACAACTTTCTTTAACAACAACGTAACCTGTAATCATTGTTATATAATATAATTTTTAACAATAACATAATCTATAATCATTTGTTAAATTTAATTACAATTATACAATAATGTATATTTTGTACGCTGTAAAAAGTGTAGTGTGCCGTTTTTGGATCTTTCCCCTTCTTTTTTTTAAATTAACCGAACAATCTTGTAACAAAAGCTATATACTATAAAGCCATATACATACAGAGCGTTTCTAACAGAATATTTTGTACAATATATTGTAATTCAAATAAAAAAATTGTACAAGCATTGAGCAGTGTTTTATATGAAAACTAGTTGACTTCTACGTACGAATATATATTTAAAAGACGAAAATATATTTTTGCGTATGTTTTAGAAAATTATGCGACTTTAGAAACATTCTGTATGTATACGTTATACAGGTACAGAAGTTACTTGAACGTAAGATGTGCGCTTAAATTTTCATTTATATGTGTATATAGTAAATAATTATTAAACTGTACAAAAATATAATATTGTCACGTGATGGAGATTTTTTAGAATATCAAGTACATTACATTAACAAGAGATATTTCAAGAGAGATATTTTAAGGACCTATTCAAGAAGAGAAACCTATTCAAGTTGAAACTAATTTGCATCCTTCTTTACATAAAACTATAGCGTAGGTCTTTATATTGATCTTTAACCATCTATAATTTTTCACGTGAAATTAATCAGAGTATAAATTTAAGTTTAATATAATTTGTATCTTGTAAGAACAAGTTTCAAACTGATAGGATAAGAACTGTTTCAACTATTTTTACGTATGCCTCGTTTGTTTCATATGTAAACTTCAAAGAAAAATTATACTAGGCATGTCAGTTGTTGTTATTTAGATTAATTAAAAGCATAAGATGTTTCATTAACATTATATCAACTTATGAAATTACAAATTGGCCGACTAATAAAAACGACAAACTGATAAAAACGATAATAAATCGTAGAGAAATTATTATAAGTTTAAACCTAAAATATCCAGATTATAACAAATACAAAACTATATACTGATTCTCCTCCTTTGCTTTTAATGTTTCTGATAAAGCATCAGTCTTATTAATGATATTTGTAAAAAAAAACTCTATCATAATGTATCTAATATATATATATATATATATATATATATATAGAGAGAGAGAGAGAGAGAGAGTTTACGAAATTCAACTTGCAAAGCTAATGGAAATTTATGGCGGCCAGACACTATCAATTCAATTAATCGATCACATTAATTCGATCAACCATTCAATTAACTGTATTCAAATATTAAAGTATGTTTGTGCGTATCCATTCATCATAATTTTCTGGCATTACAATCCGCACTGATTAATTTGTTGTTGCATTTTGTTGCACAAAAGCTGGGAAGATTGCAAAAAATATTTTTCTTAGTTTTTTCAATAATTAAAAAAATATAATTATTTTTTAAATGCAAAAACGATACTAATTAGATAACATACCTGTCTTATGTTATAATCATGTATTAAAATTATTTTTGACTGATCTGCACTACCAAATAGGTTTCCCAATTTCTTCTTTCTACTGGAATCTTTAATAAATATCTGAATTCCTCTATCAACTGATTTCGGTTGTTCGCTCATCTCTTGCCACGTATGAGTCCACTGTACCTGTTATTGATGACAATAAAATATTTAATTCCTTTGAAACTAATTCACTAAACTTAATTTAAGAAAATGGAGTGTTCGTAAAATATACTGACTCGCCATCCTCCAAATAAATCACTATGCTCTAAATACGATATTCTCTTATCAGTAAGTAGTAGTACATCTTTGTTGATATACATATGATAGAAATAGATATCGGTATTTGCGTATTTTCCTTTTTCCAATTCCTGTTAAAAAATAATTTGTAAATATTACTTAATATTAAATGAAAACAATATTGAGTATGTAACTCACGCATAAGATTTTATGCCCCTCGGCTTCGTCTCGAACATACGGTCTAACTAAGCAGTCTGGTTGTAAAAATCTAGGTGGCCTTACTTTTTTTACTTCTTCATTCAACTCAGTTGCACTAAAAACGAATAAATAATTTTAAGTATTCACATTCACTGTGATTCTATGTCGATTATATAACATGATATTTAGGTTGACAAGAATAATGTATCTTTTTTTACCGTTTCACTGCACCGAATGAACCACTAGCAAAATCTATAACTCCGGCAGTTGGTCTAGTAACAAGACCAACCATGCCTTTCCCAACTCCTTTAAAGAACCCTTCCACACCTTCTTCTTTGGCACCCGATATAGGTTTCAATACAACGCCAGTTACACCATCAACAACACCCTACATCCATATCATACAATGATACAATTATCTGTTTTATCCCATAAGTAAAAAATTGTATTAATTTTTATTCCTTATTCCTCGCTTACCATTACCAAACCCTTGCCACTACGAGCAAGACCTTCTTGCAAGTTAGATGGCTGTTTATTAAGTTGTTCTTGTCGTTTTCTCTGGTAATCTTTATCGAACGTTAAAGCAGCTATACCTTTACCTAAACGGACATAATGTATTGTATACGCAATATACAAATTTAAGGAATATAGCGATGTTCAGAACAGAATAAGTAATAAAGCAAAAGTCAAACATACCCATAGCTCCAGTAATTTTAGAAACAGCTCCAGCCATTCCTCCAACAGTATGACCTAGCATGCTTCTCATACCAAGAAGTAAACCTTCCGCAAACTCTCCAGGCCCTTGTATCGCACCTTGGAAAGGTTCGTAAAACAAATCTTCAATGCCTTTCATAGTACCTACTACTAGACCATATGGATTCCCTATTACATCCAATCCCAAAACGAGAACATAAGCTTGCTTAATTGCTTGTCCCACATAGTGTGTTGTTGCTTCGGAAATAAGCTGTTTATTGGTCATGAAAGTATATTCTCTTTCGAAATATGCTAATCTGCAAAGAAAATAAAAATGTATTCTATACAGAATGTCTTCTATGACATGATTACTATTATTTCCTAGTGATAAAGTACAAAAGAATTACTTGAATACAATGTCGTTAATATCAGTTAACGTAACACCTATTCCTTGTAGCAACACATTTAGTACTTGAGGTAGTGCAGAGGGTCCGCTACCACTACCACTCATTGAAAAACTTATGTGAATCTGAAAGAAAATAATAACATCGATTATAGAAATATTATTACAATTGATACAAAGTATAAAGGAACGGACCTTCAACGGCGAGAAGTGAAGTAGATCAAAGAAATTCTTCTGTTCTGCTGTAGTAATTAAACTGACGTGATACATTAAAGGTTCATCAACGAGTTTCGTATCCAATTTGAATAATTTGCTCTAAAGAGTACAATAAAATAATTATTATCATATTTTAAATTTATCATAATTTATAATGTCATAATATTATAATACTTTACGCCTATAATATAATATTATTATTATTATATTTTACGCCTTATTAAAAAATGAACAGAACTCACTTCTTCCGCATCGTTCATTTTATTTGTTTCAAATAAACCCATGATCGCATTAATAAATATAATGTCCACTTTCACGTGAAATTCTTGTACGAGAACCTTGAAGTATCGGAACTGTTGGACATTACTGTGTTCAAGTAATCGTTTAACCATACTAAGCTCAGCGAATGGTTTCATAACTGTTAAAACATGATTTCAAGTGCTGAATTAGTTGAATTATAATACGTTTCATTTTATTTTAGTTTTCAATAACAAAATTTACCGGTACTCGCTGTAACACTTTTTGGTGGAGGAACTGGAGCCAATATCACTGGGAAAACACAATCTGCAAGTTGATTATCAATTTGCAATCTATTGATCTTTGCGTGTAATTGCACTTGATGCGCTGAAGTGCGATACTGCAACCATAAACCAGTTTGGAAAGTGCGTCGTAGAAAACGACGATGCGGTTTCAATAGTTCCATGTTCAAATAATCAACCTGGAATTAAAATTAACGATTAAATTAATAGAAGTGAAATGAAAATAATGATTATGAAATTATTATTTTCACTCTCGTTACCTCTAATTTTGGTTCAAGTACTGCTTTTTGTATCGGATCTTTTCCTATTTGCAATTCACGCATATATTTTTGATAGCCCTCTTCTATAACATTCACCTCCCTTGTGCTGAGACCACGCCAACGATGGCTAGCAGATTTACGCGTTTCCCATATAATTCCAGAACTAAACAATAAAAATTGTTAATAACAATAACAATAATTTGTCGAAATAAAGCAAATTAATGTATAAATAACGTACCTAGCTATACACAAATATAACAGTTCAGATCTCGTGACGTTATTAACAAGAGAAAAGCCAACTCCGTGAATACTTATTGTTATTTCTTGTTCTATAGGTTCAAAATCACCCGCTAATTCACAATCTTCTGCAACTTTCATGTTTGTTGTAAATAGAAGTACTCGTTGTGTACCATCCAAAAACGATACGTAGTATACTTGTTCTGCTAAATCTGGTAACTGAAAACCTCCTAAAGTATCCTAAAATACAGAATTCTTTTAATATTATTAAACTACAAATTGACTATCAATAGCGTTGGAATTGAACATTTACTTTTCGAAGAGTCTCCTCGATTTCTTTTTTATTGTTATCTTCCCAGACCAATCTCCGCGGACCTGCAGGATTCTCCCAGGTGTAAAACATTCTATTGTACGACTGTATAGATCTGTAAAATAAGTTTCATTACAATACAGTTAGTAATAATATCAATTTTTTTTTCCTCTTTAAACGATGAATACCTGACATTCAGGGATCCTTTCTCCCAGAAATCGATAGTGTGCGGAGTCTGATTGATAATCAATGCCGGGGCATTTCCAGGACTATACGCGGATAAAGAAATGTACACTCCACCCTCACTTATTTGTATATCTACGTTAATTCCTCCATACTAGTGAATAACAAGAATTATAGACTCATATAAATTACGCATTGGACAGAAATGAAGAACGGTACGAACCTTATTGTTTAATTTTAATAAAGTTGTATGGCTCTCTGTATAAATAAATGGTGCAGTTTTTTCGGGACTACCTGCGATTCTAGCAGATAGAGTTTTCTGTTCATGGTCAGAACGAGGCCAGAGAGCTGTACATTCTCTGGGAGGAACCTTTGGATAAATAAAACAACAATTAATTTTATTTACACTAGACTAGTAATATTATATAAAATGAGTGTGGTTCTTACCTTAATCATAGGATCAGCCGGTCTATTACCTTCTTGGCATTCAATGAGATAATCAGAATTATTTATCAATACATAATATGGAGTGAATGTAATTTGTTTTGTCAAAGAGTTATAAGTCAATTGATTATGAACCCCAATCTGTGATTTGTAAAATATGCTGTCACTATTGCTGACAATACAGTGCTTAAACAATGAAACTATAAATACAAAAAAATACTACTAACTTGGTACGTTAGACCATTGTATTTACAAACGACTACTCCCTCACTTCCTGCAACATCTATTGGAAATTTATCAGACCATTCACCATCCTCGACTCTTATCATCGCCTTTTTTTTACCGAAGAATACTTTGGAGCGAAATGAAAATAATATTGGTCCCTTAAAGTTTTCTGGATGGTAAAGTACATTTAGATAGTCTTCACCACTCTGAAAATTTTTACATAGTTAAATTCTTATGCCAACGTTAATTGCATTTTTACAATTGTATCTTTTCTTAACATATTTATACACTGTTACATTATATTCGCCAACATCAGCTAGCTTTATTTTATAATCTTGCTCATGTATTTCAATAAACAAATCTTGAATTTCGCGAAACTGTAAAGTTTCGCATGTTTTGAGTTTCTTTTTGTGTTTAAAATTGTCGTTTTATAAAAGTCTCTTATGTTAACGTATAAGTGTCTACTGTACTGTGCACTATTTGTAAAAGACTCTAGTCTTTCAACAATTGTACATGCCATAGCAAAACGCAGTAATATCTTACTCGTAGCATGAAAAAGTATGCGTAATGTTGCAAGATTATGACATGCCATAGGAAGCCAACTAACAAATAACATGAATTAAGTTTAGTACATTTTTTTGTTAATATTGGAGGAGTATATGTACCAGATATTAATAAACAATTATATATCTTAATACAAAAGATATGATTAATGATGTAAAGTTAATAAAAGAAGTGCTGATAACAATTATTTAAAACCATGTAGAATATTAATTAATACATGGCTTTACACAGATAGTTAAATGGAATAAATCGTGTGAGAAGTTTATTTCACAGTTTGTAAGATTAGACCATCACCAATATAAAATGAAATCAATATATCACCGAGCGTGCTTTCTTCTTCCTGTATTCTACACTTGGTCGATGAGGTTTCATACAAACCAAATTCTGAAAGACATCTTTCTATGTATTACAATTCGTGAGATTGTCAATGATGAAATTTTTATCTCTTAATATTTATGATTTGGTCCACGATTAATGTAAATAAGAATTTACAACGAAAAGCAATTACAACATTCTGCGACATGCTACAGTTTTAAAAATTCTGACTTGAACAGAAAGAAAAAAAAATAAAATAATTTGAACATTGAATTTACAACAAATGCATATTTCAAGATTTTTTAAAATAAATTTTGCATATTTAAAAATATAACCACCATTAATAAATAATAAAAATTATTTAATTAACATTGCGTCCAAAGCACAAAAAGTAATATGATATCACTACCTTGATTGGACTTGAGTGTTCTTTGCCACCCTTACTTGATTTCTGTAAAATAATGTATTGAATAAGATATGATTGTAGAAGATTAACAGTTTGCAACATTATACTACTTTCAGCATGCGCAATGTAGTGTAGGACTTACATATGGCACAAAAATATCATAACTCAAGCAATGCGTAGAGATTAATTAAATGCCTAATGCAACTACCAAACAAAAATTCGTATTATTGTTTAACGTGTTAAAATAGTTTATTACAACATTGTAAGAATATATATTATATTATAAAAATACTTTAGGGTAGGTTTATGGTTAATCAATTAAAAAAAAAAAAAAAAAAACAAAAGAAAAAATTAAAAGGAAAGATAATAAGCGAGACTTAAATGAAGCAAAAAAAAAAAAAATTGTTCAGAATAGTTTTGATGATACTTACCCGATAAGACAACATTAAGCCTGTTTTGTTTAACATCCAAAATGGACAATATAATGCCATAATGATAGAACCATGTTCATATGATGTATGCATTCCCAAATCCATTATAACTTTTTGTGCACTATCAAAAGATTCGAAAGACCATACAGAAAACTCTGGTGGATTCGCTAATATCTCACCCCTACATGACCAATCTTTCTCTAAATAATTTGGTAACTGTAACATACAATTTTAGAAATTATACGAGTTGTCCCGCATAGGAATGTGATTTACTTACTTTTATGATTATATGCGACTTTCCTGGGTCAATCGTGGGAATCTGGTAAGATGTACCAGCTTCTAAAAGCTTTTCTTGTACAACTCCAGGTAGGCATACGATAATATCGATAGGCAAAAAGTTCTTCAAATATACAGCTGGATATAAATGAACATTATAAATCGTACTTGCCATTGTATGTCGACTAGTATTTTCAAAATAAACTTGCTCTATTTCACCAACAACCTGTAAGTATTATAACACATTGTTAAAATACATAAATTCTTTTTTAAAATATTAAAATTATTCTTTCTCTACTATGTTATTCTATTATTCTTTGTACTACCATCTAAGTAGTAAACGACACTTTCAATATTTAAAGCATAACAGTAACAGTACACTCCGTTTTATAAAACATGAAAAAAGAAAACGTGCAATGGATACGTCATACCGAATGCTAACATAAATTTTTGAATACTTTATGCGATAAAGACAAATTGAAAAATTAGCCATAGTACACATTGTAGAAACTTGTTACTGAAATACACTAGACTAAGAAATAAAACAATGTTTATAAAGATAATTAAATGAAAAAAAGTCCTGTAAAGTAAAAGATAAATTCAATAACAAAAAATTGTCAAAGTCAATGAAAAGAGTTAGCGTTAAAGTTAACGTAAAAATAATTTGTCCGTTTCTTTCTTTTTTTCTTTTTATCGTAATTATATTATTAATATAACAAATTTCATGATTGTAACTAAAACCATGCCAATAACTACTTCCAATCAAACATATAGGGAATCTCTAGATCAATAATAATCAATACGATAACTAACACATCTTACAATATTATTCATTACAGGTACACACTCATATTAAAAAATTATTAACTATCTAATATAGCAGCAGTAATGATACTTATTTGGTTGATATCCAACATATACTAAATAGCAACTGATTCTCAAATTAATTCAGAAAAGAACGATTGTACCTGTATAGGTGCATCCAGATATTTTTTGTGCTCTGAGGGTAAAGTTTTCAAGCAAAGATGCTTGATGCAATCAATGAAACGACAGAATACGGATCGCCAGTTAATAGCATTCAATAATAAGCCAATAGTGTTGTTATTATATAAAATACTACCAACCACAATCATCACGAAAAACATCTAAAAGTAAAAACTGTTGCTTATAAAAGCATGTGATGTAATTTGTTTTAACAAAGTCTTGTTTGATTACAGCATAAGAAAAGAAAAATAAATTAAACGTACAGTTTTATTATATAATAGTATTACACATACTACACGGTGTGAAATTTTTAAAAGACAGAAATCAAATAGAACAGAAGAATTTCCTAAGTTTGTACATAAGTAAATGAACGAGTTTTACTTTCTTACCTTCATGTAAAATGGTTCTACAGCTTCTTGCCTCACTCGAGATTCACATCTCAACAGTTTTGTCATACTAACTGTTTTTTGTAAATCTTTCCAAATAAATTGTTCTATCGAAACCATATATCTGGAGAACAACATTTGAATAAATATTGCAGAAGGATATAAAAAATACAAAAATTTATGTGAAAATATAAATTACCCCTCAACACTGAAAAATAATCCATAAACATTTGTTGGTGTATATACAGCATCCAATGGAAGATTTAATTTACTATCTGAAGCAACAGTCCCCACACATTCAACTTCATTTCCACGCTTAGTCATATAATATACAGATATTGGTTGACTAAAATGATTGTGTACCTATGAAATATATAGAATATTATTGCTTGTAATTACTACTAAAACTTAAGGATAAGAGAATTTATGCAAATTACCTGTAGAATACTTCGAAGAGTAACAATGGTACTTCCTTCATCTACTACAACGTCAGAAACAATACCCCATTCTTCGGAATTATCTTTTCGATACTTCAATGAAAAGAATCTTTTATCAGCCCTTAATACAGGTATAGCTAATGTTCCATTAATTTCCTTGAACTTCAAACAATATTATTATATACATTACTTTGATTATACGAAGCAAATTTATAAATAAATCTGTATATTTTAAATGTATTACCGAAATAATAAACTTATCATCGTCCCGTTCTTTGATTGTTTCAGTTTTTAATTGATCAACCAATGGTATTACAGTTTTTGTCGTTCTCGAAGCTAAATCTACCGATGCACCAGATTCAAGAATTACTTCCATGTACGAATCTGTGTTATTGCTCACAAGTTTAGATCCATCGCTGAAAACCTAAGAAAAGATGTATGATCATGGCATTATTTTCATAATTAAAAGGGATAAACAGTATTTTAACGACAATAAACCTTGAAGTGACTGCGCTCCAAGTCTAAAACTATCGCTAAACCAGTTTCATTCCTGAGTACGTATGGTGCCACACTTTTGGCCATTCCTTTTCCACTCGCTTCCATGGCAGATGAAAACGCATTACCAAGTTGTTTTAGTACATCCAAACAAGTTTTAGTCACGGTTATTTCTAAATTTTCCTATTCGTAAAATATCGTAAAGATGTTGTAAAAATATATGATAAAAAAAAATTTATGCGTATTAACTTACAGTTGATACTATGTCAATAGACATTTTAGGAGTTTGATGTAATTCTTCTATTTCACTGTCTGATGTAGGACTGATAGCTCTTGCACTTCTAGAGTCTGGTGATACATTATTAAATTGAATCTAGCACACAAAAACCAATAAAAAAATACATAACAACAACGAAAAAGCTGCAAAAATTATAACAACATTTTAATCTTTAAAAATTTAAATACATTACTTTAACTTTTAGCTCCCAAGGCGTAGAAATCAACTTTTCATTTTTAATTTCCTCTATCGGTTCAATTAATGGTTCCCACAATGCTAAACAACTATTGTAATACGCCATAATTACCGACATCGTACTTTCTATGTTCATCTAAAAATATTTAAACGGTAAACGAACAGTACGTGAAAAATCTATGTTAAAATTCATACGAGTATACACTTACAGTTTTCGTACTCCAATCGTTAATGTTACTTTGGAAGCCAATATGAAGTAAAAGCATTGGTAATGTTTTATTACCGACGCCTGCTTCTAACGTGAATAGAATTGTCGGCGCAGAAATTATGGCTAATTCTGGTTTATAAACCGTAGTATCCTCATCATCAGAATATACGAAATCTTCTATGGCTTCTATTCCTACTTCTATTCAAACAAAATAGAAAAACATACGTACGTATTGTAAAAACAAATCGTATTAAATGAAAAAAAATTTATATATACAGTAATATGTGTATCATACCTGTTTTTAAAAACCAAAAATCACTTTCTTCAAATGGAGTCACGATCCATAATCCTTCGTAATTCTCTTCAGTAACAACAACTTCCTGATCTTGCTCTTCCGTCTTTGTGGCAGTATGAACCACTTTATTCAATATTTCTATAACACCTGTAAATAGTAATAGTTTCATTAGCGATCTTATTCCGACATTAATTATCAATAGTTTCTTGAATTACCTGGCGAAACCGATAAGTGAATATCTGTGCAACAAATATCAATGTGAAGCCCTTTGCCATCTGGTGTAGAACCTGCTACACTTATGCTGCATGGTCTTAGTACCTTTATAAAATTAACATTCTGGTTACATATTACACGTAGAAACGGCATAAGTAAACACTTTTAGAGGAATGTCTTTACCTGATATATCCAGTCACTTCTTTTCATGGGATTGTATATACCAGCTAAAATTGATAAGTCTTTTATGGAGCCTGTTATTATTTGATGCTCATCCATCAAACGTACTTTCAGGAGTAATTCGGTCTGAAAGAGATTATGTGTGCAAACAAGGAAAACGACATACAATAATACATATATAACAATTAGAAAAAAATGAAAGGTAGATATTACATTTAATATGATGCAATTGGAATTTATGTCATCCATGTCCTCTAACAGAATAATATCTGGTTTCTCAACGTGTATGTTAATCGTAAACATTTTTTTAGTCGATGATGTAATTTGTTTCTTTTTAACTGCTGATTCGCCATGATTTTTTGGTACATGCTGGGGCACTGATTTATTTGTCGGCGGTTCATCGACAGTAAAAAAATCTTTTACTTTCATTAGATAGTCAAGTGATACGATAATACTAAATGAAAAAATTCGAATGTCAACTGAAAACGAGATTCAATCACAAAACTTTTGAGTAAAACTGAGAATGAACTTTACGTCGGTTAAAAAATATTTTTCAACTTACCAAACGTATCATTTGAACTCTGTCTAATAGTCATGTCTAACATACTACGAATAGGTTTCTTTGATTCTTTCTCTACGTCATCCATAGAAGGTATCGTTGTAGTTCTTTCCATAATTCTTACAAGAGAACCTTGTCTGCTTTGACGTATATCATCTAAAGTACAATTCATAAGGAGAATGGAAGTTGCCATTAATCCATCGGCAAATATTCGACCTTTCAGGGCGAAATGAGTTAAACAAAATTTCGCTAATCCATTCTCTGGTGGATGAAGCAGAGAACTTTGTGACTGCAACTTTAATTAATTTGAATAATTTATATGCTCAGACAACAATATCGTATAGCACAACATTTCATTGAAATTACCATTTTTGAACCTCCTGTAAATAAGGTAATCACAAGGCTGTCCATGACAAACTCAAATTTGATAGACGTGTGTATATGTACTTGTTCTTGCAAGTTTGCATCTTCCGTACCTTCTGCAGTAGCTCTTATAAATTTATCTACTCAAACAAAGATTTATGATAATTACATCATAATTTCTTAATTTCACTAGAAATATATAAAACAAATTATTTACTCTTACCGCTTTGATGATGTTGTAAAACTTCTACTTCTAATTTCTTTTCAGACTGATTTACGCTTGTCGTAAATTTTTTATCTTCGGCTGTCTCACCTAAATTTTTTTCTAATACTTTCATTGCAGTTGCATAATCCTCTTTACTTATTAATATATTAATTTTATTTAATCTGCCCGACATGTCAATATCTGGTACAGAGGTGAACCAGGCAGTCGATAAATTACGTTTAATGAGCAGTGTAAAACTGACTGGTTCTAATAACAATATTTCATTTTCAATCGCGAACTTTTCCACATTTAATCTCACCCTGTTAGGATAAGTAAAATTAATACATTGAGTAAATGCGATTATAATTAGTAAATGTTATCACAGTTTGTAAGCAACAAACAATTACCGGGATAATTTTAAATTTTGTAACTCGACTCTCATTTCATCGATAATAGGACAATCTCCACTGTCATTTGTAACTTCCAATTTCTTAAAAACGTTACATACAGTAAGATTACCCATGTCTAATGTCAAACAATGATCACTTTTTGAATGCATTGGTACATATATAACTGGAGCCTAGACATAATGTAAAACATATGATAAATTAAGATTAAAATAAGATTTTTTACAGATTTTTTTTTTTTTTACAAGATTAAAATTATTTTTACATATACCTTAATTTTTATAGCAAGTCCTATACGTGTTGCGCTTTCTTTAACGTCTTTAATATTTGTCCTCGCGGCTTCTGCCGCTGCTGCTGACGCATCCTTTATAGCTTGTTGAGCTGTTTGAAAATTGTTTAAGAAACTCTGAAACATCAAATATATTTTAATACCATCTACATACTAAAATATATGTAAATTATTTTCTTTTTCTTACCATTATACTAGTAACAAATATATTCAAAAAGACGATGCGATAGCAACCCATAACAACCGTAATAGACATATTATTTTTATCAATTTCTGACGGTTCAATATTATACATTATAGCCTGGATTTGCAGAGATTCAGTATCTTCTGTCACCGATACAATCTACCAAATACCAAACAATAATTAATTAATATTATAATAAATGAATATAACTGGAAAGATTCCATATGCAACATTATATAGCAAAGAAGAATACAAGAGAATGAAGTCTTACATCCCTATAAATTGACGCTTCGTTAAGATCTTTAATACTAATAGAAGATAAATTAATATTAGTTTGAGAATAGGAAGCTTTCATTATAAATCCAGCAGTGATACCATCGACATAAAGTGCAGTAATTTGTCTGTAATTGCTAGTAATCTTCATACAGATAGTTCCAACTTTTGCTTGAACTTTCAAATCTATGTGTTCCACCACTGTTCTCCTTCGTCCTAAACGTACATGTACAATTATATTATGTAGATAATTACAACTCTGGCAGGTAAAAACATATAAAAACATGTTTACGTGTCGTTGATCTAAATTTTTGCTTTTGAATTTGTTCCTTCAAGAATGTAGACGTTTCTTCTTGAATGGAAACCAAATGGCTAGGACGTGGACGCAAACCAGGCTCTTTTTCGAGTTTATTGTTTGCTATAACGTTCATTTGATCCTACAATTTAAATATACAAAAAGATAATTTATATTCTTCGCTTATACACAAATTACGTCGTTACCTGAACATATGATATAAACTGAAGAAGATTTATAAGAGCTTCTTGATGTAACAAAACGTCTAATGTTGTAAATTCTAATTTTAGTAATTGAAGAACAGATCCATGCTTTGTTTTAAATTCAGGAGATCGTTTATTTACCTAGAAATAAACATAAATGAATTAAATTATATCTAGTGAATAATTTACGAATAATATAATATTTATTTACTTACATTTATATACTGTACTGTTATTAAATATTCATGTCTGCCTGATAGCATAGGAGTATTTATCATAAATATTTCTCTTTGGCTATAATGTTGCTTAACTTGAACGCCGCCCAATCTTAATAATATCTCTTGATCGTAAGTTCGTTGTAACATCTCTGCTTCTAACTGCAATACCTCGAATTTTACAAACGGTATTATTTCACTGCCTTTTTGGGACGAAACTTGTATCGCGAATTCTGTAATAGATGATGTAATTGTAAACTGAATAAGTAATTATAATTATCCATAAAATATCATTCGTTACCTTTCATTTCAAATTTCATCTCCATATCAATCATCTGTTTAACTGAAATTATAGCAGAATCTTCTTTTTTCTTCTCAGCAATAGTAGTGGTTAAATCTTTCAGTAAAGATAATTGCGAAACAGATTTACTCTAAAAAAATATTTCGTAATCAGGATAAAACGCTTAACATATTCGACGTGTAATGCAAAATGTACCAAGGATGCTTTCTGGAGATCTGTTAGTTCTTCCTTTGGCTGTGGTATACTCTGAGCGATAGAAAGAGCTTGTAATAAACGAATATCTAAAAAAAATTAAAGGGGATTATATCGTGTGCATTATTAATATATATTATTTATTAAAATAAAATTCTTTCTTCAACCTGTTATATTAACAACAACTGATGGTAGTTGCCCAATTAATCTAAACTTTGGAAGTAAGGGATCGTCCATTACTAAACACTTATGAAATTGAATTTCGAGCGTTGTTGGATGCAATAATGTCATAGAATCATCCACGTTTGATAATATTGAGCGCCATTCTTCACCCGGCAACGAAACTAATACCTATTTTACATTATAGTTAAACACGATATTAATGTTAACGCATTTAACATTTCAAAAATTAAAAATACATACTTGAAAGTCGACTATCTTTAAAACAAATTTATCATAACTATGTTCCCTAAGATGCAATAACACATCTTCTTCGCTTTTGCCCATACTGATCAATTGTTTAACAGACACATTTGCCTTATCATCACCTTTTGGCTTTTCCAAAGAATGTATTTGCAAACTACCAAGATTCACAACTAATAACGATTTTGTGCTATCATAAAACCCATCATGTGGTATGATTAACTGAGAAGCTTGCATATTAACCTGTTAAATAATCATATATTTTTATGCAATGTTAAGTTTTGCTTGTTACAATGAATGCATATCGTAAAATGAATTTTTACCTGTATGTCTAACACTGAATGCTTTTGAATAGCATGTTCCAAACCTAAAGCTGACATTTCTTTCAAACCTTCCAATCGTTCTGCAGCAACTGCTTGCAGACTATGTATAAAAATAAATTATTTAAAAGAGTTGTTAAAATATAAAGTAGAAAAAAATAATGTTCTTACTTGTTCAAAGTTGACGAATTTTGTACTTTAAATAAGTTAACCAATTCAATTACTGTTTGTGCATCGTAAATAATATCCACAGATTTCGATCTTACTATGATACGATCACCACATAATTTATCGAGAGGATTCTTTTCGTAGGACACTGATAATAAAACGTTATCCGTGTCATGCTGATGCGAATTGAAAAGTGAAGGAATATGTTCATCTTGTTTTGTTCCTAATAATTTCATTTCATTAATTGATGCTGTAACTCTGTAAGAAAGAAAATAAATTAAAACGTTAAAATATAATAATTCACGTTTTTATACTGATTATTTTTTTTTCTTTTTCCTTTTCTTTACTTTGTTTTACTTTTTCTTTTTTGTAATAAAACACACATACAAAATAGCATTGGCAGATGGTCTCGACTTAAAACCTGCCTCAACACTGTGAAGTTGAAGGTCTAGGACACAAGGATGCTCTTTATCCGTATCTAAAATTATAATTTGTAATTCGTGTAAAAGAAATCGCGTATCAATCATCTCGTATGTTTCAGGATAATGAGCTGGCGCACTATTTTCTTGATAGTCAATTGCTCTGTACAACTTTTCTTTTTCTTGCGGTGTCATTGCCTCGCTAAATTTCTTCACTAAAATAAATATTTAAATGGAAATAAATAAAGATAAATAAATTAAAAAATATTATTCAATAGTATATAAATAGTATATAAAAGAAATCGAGATTATTACTTATAGCAGCTGCAGAATTCAATTCTTGTGTTTCCTCTGCCTGCGTACTAGACCATAAGAAACCGAACCAACCGCGTTTCGCTTTCAGATTTCTTTCTTTTTCCGCTAATCTTTCTACCTTTGAGGTAAAAATGAAAAAAACTTATTAACAAACATCATTGAAAAATATATATATTCTTTTATCAGCTGAAACTTTCTGTCAACTAACTTCCATTTCGATCTTCTGTCTTATAATTACTAAATTAAAAATGTCCAATCTTTTTTCACAGTCAGTAAGGACATGTTCTATTTCATGTACGACTTTCTTGGTTGTTAGTTTTGTTTGATAAGCATCAGCATAAGTGCGACAAATATCTCGATGTTCTTTCATATGATTCCAATCCCAATTTCTGCGTTGTCTACGAACCGTCTCTTCTAAGACGCAAGTGTATGCAAATCTCCACCTGAGAATAACAACTTATACAAAGATCATTCTTTTATTTCTAATTATTTAGAAATTATTTAGAACGATTTATTACCATTCTTTATAATGGCCCCTATACGACGTTAAATTTGGCCTATATTTTCTATATGGTGCAGCCTTTTGAGCTTGATCTAAACCCTCTCCTAATTGAACGAGAGTATGATATTGTTTTCTCTCCAACCCTATTCTTAATTTTTGCATTTCCATGTCTAACCACACTTTTGGAATTGTATAGTTACTTCCATCCGTCTCTGGCTTTGGATTTAATTTTAATTTCGCATTGACATTTATTGGACCCAATACTACATAAGTAAGAAACAGAAATTATGAAAAAACTTTAAATTATAAGATTTATATAACAAGAGATTAATTAAATTAATTCTTTTATCTGCTTACAGTACTGATAACCAGGTGGATTATAATCTGTGGTTGCAATCCCATTATAAAATAGATTTAAATAGTCTGATTGTGTGTTACTGAATTGTTCTGCAGTTGTATTGAGATACACTGCCAAACCATCTAACGTGCATAGCTGGAAAAAAATATGTTTCAATCTGCAAAATCTTTAGCATTGTTTCTTTTTCCATGGCGTTTCAACTTACCTTGTAAATTTGTGGAATAGCATACATATCTTTTAAGTTACCTGTTGTTTCCCAAGAATCTGTACAACTTTCTAAAGTAAATGTACTTAATGTAAAGCCAACTGAGAAGGGATGATCTTTAAATGAAATATGATCTTCATATCTCACATGTATCTTTTTTATTTCAATGTGAATGTTCTTTATCATACGTGCAATCAGTTTTTCAACCATCGAATCATCTAATTTTTCTTGTGCTAAACAAGAAATAAAATGAAGATTACTTCAACTGTACAATTAAAAAATACGAAATCATTAAAATTATTCAATAAAATATTTTGTTACACTTGGTATCTGCTAACTGTTTTTTTTTCTCAACTCTCGCAAGCTCTGCGCGTTTTGCTTCGAGGTGTATTTTTGCTTCTTTTTCTGCATCGTACGCAACCTGACTCGAAGGTACTACAAGTACAAATAATTCCTCAACTACTGCATCGATTTGTCCATTCCACATATCTTTGAACGGTATTTTTAATATAAGTTTTCCTGAAGGAAGACAGAAGATTAGCATTAATCATTAAACATATACGTTTGATTTACAAACCTAATCTTCCATATTCCAATCTAATTGGTAGATCCAACACATCTAATGCAGTTTCTTTTATTAATAAATCTGTCAATACTACATCTCCTAAAAGAAAAGAAATACAACGTGTTTTTGTATAAAATAAAAATTACATTTTCATTTATTAAAGCAAAACTATATATATGTATATGTATAACAAAATATTGCAATACACATTGAAAATGAAGCATTGCAAAAGATCACAAAATTAACTTTTTATCTTGTATACGTATAATTAAATTTGAAAAATTTAAAAGAATCGAATAATTTTTATTTGTAGAAATGAATCATGAAATTTGAATTATCCACAGGGTTTGTAAAAGGAAAATGCACAACTGGAACTATATGGATTTTTTTTATTGTACTTGTAAGAATAAAATCTTATGTATATACATAATAATAATATAACGATAATGACAATGACAAATGGATTTAAACATTTGAAACTCTACAAAATACCAATAATAAAGCGATTAAAATAGTAAAATAATTAAAATAGCAACTATAAAATAAAAATAGCACCAAAAATAACAAAAATATTCTAGGCAACTTCAAAGCAATGGCATCAATTTTTTTTTTTTATTTTAGCATTAACTTTATCATAGTACATACAATGAACATACACTTCATATATATGTGTGCAGTGACTCCCATTAATATTCCGGAACTTAAATATTCAAACTGTTACAATTTTGTAAAAAAAAAAATAAATCGCATAATAATAAACCCAAGCTCATTTTACAGTTTGAAGTCTCTACTTTCAAAGTGTATGGCAATCTGCTTTTACATCACGCAGCAGCTAGATACGAGTGAAGACACTTCTTCTCAAAAATGCTATAAATTGCAGAATTTAAGAACATTGAAAAATTTGTTTCGTGACTGAATCTATGACGAATTTGAAGACTGTATATTCTAAGCACTTGTAAAGAAGAGAAAAACAAAAAGTTTAAAATCAATCATATCGATCGGTTCGATTGTTATAGTTTTAAAATAATAAAATTGCACAATTACTTACAAAGCTTCTCTAATGATAAGTTGTAATAAATAATAATACATATAACACATATTTCACATACATTGATAATTTCTTACAGGCAACTATCATTTCAAATATCCCGCCGAAACGAGTATTAAATGTCCAAATGTTCGTGGGAGTCACCGTCCATGTGAGTGCGTGTATGTGTGAAAATATATATATATATATATATATAGATATATACATAAATTCAACGCACGTACGTTTGTAAGCGATAAAGACGAAAAGATTGTAACATAAATAGAAGCTGATCTCACGTCACCTACTAATGATACATCCATGTATTGTATATGTATTTATGAAATATCTGAAGGCTATGCCCGTGTATCAGGTGTTATCGTAATTTTATTTTTCTAAATTTCTAAAAATTTTTATCGAACTTTTCAATTACGTAGAAATACATTCCTCGCATTACGTTATATCACCGTACATACACGGGATGCTCCGCAACTTCTAAAATAATTTCTCTTGTAATAATTTGTAACGATGCTTACCTCCCCATAAGCTCAGTTTTAATTGCGAGTAATCCAAATTTTGAATGTACTCTCCCAATACTTTGTTTAGAAGTTCAGCAACGATCGACTCGAAAACCATCTTCGATTCTTACTTTGCGAAATGAATAGTTATTTCTGTTAAACAGATATCTTTAGTCTACGATGATAGGTGAATTGCAACGAATTCCCTGTGTTCTGAATCCGTGTTAAATAACAAACGGGTCAAATGCGAAAGAAGTAAAATCGATCGATAAATAAGTACCGCATAACCTAGATGTAGGAATTCATGTGTGTATATCTTCCGGAAGTGTACAATATAATGTAACAGGCTACAAAATATTTTTCAATTATCGCCACGAAATGTTTTCAGCTATTGTCATCGTTGATACTTCAGAATTTCTTGCTTAAAATAAACCACACTGTCACGTTACACTTGACTGGTCTGCGTTTCAAATTTCTCAGAAGACGATTCTTCTTCAACGTGGATGGATTGGTTTCAAATCTTCTGCAATTTGAACGACGACATTGTCAAAAAGTGTAATGCCTTCTGACCAAGTTCAATCTCATCAGCTCTATCATCATATTCTCCAGTTATTTATCACTTTGTTAGATTAATGCGTATTAAAATTACACGAATAAGTTCAAACTGATCCATGCGACTACTTAAGTACATGCGTATTAAATATGGCGGAAAGTTCCCGCCTTTTTTAAATGAGTATACTTGACGAGAGTGTTTATTCGCCGTCTGCTCTTTTTAAATAACTTAACGATGCCTTATTATACCAAGTTTTTTTCACAACTGACGGAATAGTAAAGTAAATAAAAATATTAGGCAAAATTAAATAGTTTCGAATAATAGTTAAGAATACTTAAAAAAACAGGAAGTTAAGAAAGAGATTTTATTTCTTGGAATTAAATTCTATACTTTTTAGTTATTTCAATCGATATATTTTTTTATCCTCTATAGAAATAGATATTAAGGTATTAAGAACTATTTGTGTCTGAATACGGTTAATTTGAAAGATACTTTATCTTTCATTTTAATTGTAACAAAAGAATATATCACACTTTATTTTGTTTAAACAATTATTTTGTTTTAAAAACTGAAAATAGTTTAATCTGGAAATTTATTTAGTGCCAAAACCAGTCCAAATCTGCAACGTTAAAAGTCATTTCGTTATATTTCACAAATAAATGTGGATTTAATTTCCTAATGTACACTTTTCTCAGTCCGATATTTTGTAATTTTCTGTAATTATCAGCTATCAAGTTATTTCCATTGGAAAGTAATCTAAATTTATTTAACTGTAAACAAACAACACACAAAAATAAATACAAATAAAGAAGAAATTTCTCCAGAAAAAGATATTAATTGAAATTTAGGTATTGAAGCGGTGTTTACCTGTGAGAAAGATATTGGTACAGGCATTGAAAAAATTATCCATGTAACTACTTCATTACATGGAGGTGTAGTTAAGGAACCCTTATAGCTATAAAATACATCTGTATTTTTGGGTAGCAACGAACCTAGTGTTATAGATGTGTTTAATTTTGTTTCATTATTTATCCATCGCACGCTTGTCAAGTGATTTACGATAGAATATAATGATTTGTTATCTTCTTCCTGTAACTAAACTTTAAATAGAATAATGTCCTGAAAAATGAAAATTTATTCCATGAGAACTTACTTGAAAAAAGATTCCTAAAACTACAAGACCATTTTTGTAATTTAATGCATTGGACAAACTTGAATAAATCCTATTTCTGTGAACTATATGCATTTCCATAGGATACCTAGGGAACGCACGAAAAGATTAAATAAATAATAATAAAATTTCTACACATATATTCTTCTTATGTATTTTATGTTGTTTTACCTAATACCATTCAACATATGTTCAGATCCCCTGTTGTTTTTTGCACCCCAATGAAAGTGCAAATGATCTACTTCATATTCTTGATTTATGTCAAGCGAGCCTCCAAATATATAAGGCAATCTTTTTCCTAAATGATTATTTACATTTACTACAACTAAAAAAGAAAGATATATTATCAAGTATTATTTTAGAGTTAAATTCAATCGTAATACCTGAATGACCGTTGTTTTTTAGATATAATGGACTGGACAAAAAATCATGATAGCCAATTATCTCAAGCGCAGGCAATGGAAGAGTTATCGATTTGAACGACGATATGGATATCGGGGACTGCAATTTTCCATCACATAATTTGAAGTTTTGAACCCAAGTGTGCTGATCTGAAATATTGCATTGAATGTAAAATAAAAACATCATTAGAAATATAAACATTATACATACCACGTTTACGGTATCCAAAGTGTCCAGCAACAAGTGGAACTAAAAATATATTCTTGTTATAAACAACGTAATAAATCAAAATATAAATTATTAAACTTACCAGTTGTCGCCAATATTACGCATTTTACAATATAGATCATATTAGTTACTTGATACTGATTCATTTTTTCTCACTATATTTTTGCAACTTAAAGCACGATGCTAACAATTAACGCAATACGATGGTAACACATACTTTCCATACGTCCAAAGAACACATCAAGTTATTTTCAGCATCTTCCAACTGTTTCATTTACATATTAGATGTTCTATTATCATCATCAATACGATCTCTTATGTACACATGTCACCACGTGTTCCGTTTCAATAGAACTGCAGTAAGAAGAAATACATATTTCTTTTATATTTTTAAATATGGATTTCATTTTGATATAACTTAATGGGACATAACATATTTTGTATAATAGATACTGTAACAATTTATTTACATATATACAAATAGTATTTGTCATTCTCAAAATATAATAAGCTGTATTAATCATTTAAAAATTCAACCATTTGGTGAACAGTAATTAATATACATAAATTTACAATTAACTTTGGCATTAGCTAATAGCGAAGATTGTCTCATACATTTGTTCTATTTTGTTACAAATCATAATAGTTAATTAATTCTACAATATATACACGTGCACACGAAATATACATATATGTACGGATAAAGAAACAAATATTAATATTTGAATATTGCTCGCTGTTATGATAATTGTATTTGTTGAGAAGGAAGCATATAAATTTTTTGAATATTTAGATACTTTTGAGTTTTAATACTTTTGATAGTTCTAAAATATATTTAGAAATAAATAAATTTGTATGCCTCGTTCTCTTTATAATACAAGTTTTCATTTTTATTTTAAATTGGATATAAATGGACAAATACAAAAAAATCTGTTGCTGTCCTCAACAATAAAATGATAAATAAATCGTAACTATTGATTTATGCATTGATTTAAATATTCAATTATTTAAGATATATAATAATAAATTATATGATATATGTAGAAATTATTAGTTGTATCTTAATATTAATAGCACCATTTGAAATTTCATTTGTTTAAATAATTCAATAAAAAATTATTAGAAAACATTTAAAAAAATATGCTATTTTCAATATTTCAATATTATAATTTAAAAGACATACTATTATAAATATAAATATATATATATATAATTAATTTTTTAAAATATGAAAATAATTGTTTACGTTAATCGTTAAACTTTTAAATATTTTTTTCATTTTTTCGTTGTATTTTTTTATCATAAATATTACAAATAATCGCGGCTTCAAGAAAAATATAAAATAAACATCAAATTAAAAACTTATCGTATTATCTACGACAGAGTATTTGTTATATTGTATAATTTTGTATATTTTTGTTGGTCAAATATTATACTATTTTTTAATTAAATTACAAATTTTTTATAAATTAATTATGTCTATGACTAACACGTACAAAATTACGTAAATTATTAATTTGATAAATCTGTATTCGCTTAGAAGTTCATTCGATACGTTTTATTTGACTAGAATACTTTCCTGTACATTGATTAATATTCCGTCCTCTCGCTATCTTGTGATTTGGAAATCATATTTTGTAAAGGAATCGAAAATAATTCCTCCCATGGGGACCGTATAGAAGTAATAACTACTTCAGCAGCGCTCATGGTTACGAAGTTCAAAATCCATACTTCTTCTTCTCCTACTATTTCGTCTAAGAAATTCAAGGTTAGTGAAGAGTTATAATGTTCCTAAAAATATAACAAATAATACGTTTAAGCACAAAAAAATCAAAGTATAGTTTTTTTAAAGATTTCTTTTTCCTCTAATTTTATTAATATTATTTCAATACAATCAATACTTACAACTCCAATCAAATTGCTCATTGTTTGTTCTCTTATTACATATGGTGATTCCTTGTTGCCTGGAAGAAGCCACTGCATATTGCACATCACCAAAACAGAAGTAGTTACTATTAAGCTAGATAATTTAAGTTGAACTTCTCGGTCTTGATATTTCAATAACGCAGAAGAAAATAAAGCGAGGTGTCTAACAGCATCTTTATCCTGGTAATTTTTGCAATTTTTTAATAATTGGTGCATTAAGGAAGTAGAATGCTCTGATATTTTGAGATCAACTTTTTCGCAAATAGGTGGTAACACGAAATCTATAAACAGAAAATCATTACCTTATATGTATTTATATTTAAATATATGATAATATTATATTAAAATATTAAATAAACACTTTTATTTTTTACCAGTAACATAAAGCAAGAAATTAAGCGTTCTTTGTAAGTCTTGCAGAATACAGAGAAATGTAATAGAATTCAGTTCGTCATTTGTTTTGTTAGGTTGTTCTAATTCAATGAGAACACCTTGTTTAAATGGTATCGGCGAGAAACGTCTTAATCTGTCTATCGTCCAGCTAATCTCTTTGTGCAACCAGCGTTGTGGATTTTCTCTGTATAATAGCAATTAAAAAAAAAATGTAACAGATTTTCAATGAATGAAATTTTGATAGAATTATATTTTACTTTATTATTACCCTTCTGGTCCAACAATTTTAAGAACGTAAACTTTCGACGTAGATAAAATCAAACAACCAGAAAACGTATCTTTCATATTTTGCATTAGAATCTCTGCCTAAAAGTTTACGAATAAATTAACAATATTCATTTAAACTGTCAATTCAAAAAACATATTTGTTTGTGTAGAATCTAATACGTTACTCTGAGAAGAAGAATAAGCTCTTCGTTTTCATGTTCGAATATATTCAAAATGATATGTAATTTTATTCTATGATCTATACTGCTGAAATCCGTATAAGAATACTGAATATTACTACCCATTAAATGTGACGCTTGTTCCGTTTTTAATTCTAGCGGTTTATTATTACCAATTTTTATACTCTGAAGTAATCCTAAAATTGATACATATACAAAGCTAAATGTTGATACAATTAAAAACACATATTGCTACTAACCTCCTAGCATAGAAGTTAAATTCGTTACAGGCGAAGATTTAATCTCTTTATCATTATTATTAAGGGACTTTTCATCCATGCTTATTTGTCTCATTACTTTATTTTCGTATGCGGTACAGACACTATCCGTCAAAGAGCCTATAGACATAGTTTTATTAATAATAATAAATTTATAATTTTCATACTGAAAAATATAATAAAAATGTTAACAAACCCGAAGAACTACTCTCTGTTAAACCAGTCATGATTGGTGCTGCATCTGGTATCGTTAAAAGACACGGAGCCACGGCAGCCCTTCTTTCCTCTGAAGAGCGCTTTCTATGTGGTGTAAGATGTGTTCTGTGTCAATACGTCAATAAATAAGAAATTTTGTACGAACAAATAAGTCGAATTGCCTATAGGAAAAATATAGTTTACCTTGACCCATCATCTAGAACCTCAATGCTACTTTGACTCGGATTGCTGAGCACTTCTATATCACTTTCATATTTTTTATCTAATGCATTTGCAGACGGTGTTGATTCTCTTGATTCCTCCAAACTCGTTGCCGAACCTGTTAGCAACAAAATAAAGTATAGTTACACCTAAATCATCTAAATTTAACATACAATATTTACTATATACATATATTATTGTAAGTAATAATTATAAGTTTATAAATAATACATTATATATTAATCAAATAGATGGCTCATACTTTTCTTTTTGCTTCGTTCTACTTGAAAGGTAGATTAGACTCGTATTTTTCATTACAAGATTTTGCACATTTTCTCTCATAGTTAATAATTTTTTTGCTATGATAAAATAGCGATAATTATTTAGAACAAATATGCAAATACAAAAATAAAAATATGGCCCTAGGGTATTACTAGTATACAATCGTAAATAGTAAAGCAAGTAATATTACAGCTTTATGTATTTAATTGTGAAACATGCTTGAGAAAACAGAAATTGCTGTAATAAAATACTGTGGCAGAAGCTTACAGCGGACTTGAGCTTGTGTGTGAGAGTCAGATTGTACCAGAGAAGTGGTGACGGATAAAACTCGACCCTCCGTTCCACCTGCACCGGGATTAGTACGTTATAATCCCAATCAATAATACATGGATACGCAGTCAGTAGTTACAAAATTAGTGCATTCGCATTCGATAAATTAATGATTGTTATTCTATAAAACTTAAACATACTAACATTATAAAAACTTGAAATTATAAACAAACAAATATATGGTTAATTTTTATTATAGAAATCTTATTATTTTACTTTTAAAATTAATAAATTGGAAGATTATATATCAATATATAATTGAAATTGTGTTACATCAAGTAAACTCAAGATATATCATTATTAAAAGATACGTGACTTTTATCAAATTGCATTCATTCTCGTATTAATCGAAATATCAATTACAGATATCGCAGAACCGACTGCAACTTACCAATACTAGAGGAAGATCCAGAATGTTGTAAATCCGATTTTGCTGGATTTACCAAATGTTGATTTTTGGTTACGCTTTCTGGTAAATCTCTGGGAGTAGCATTTTCTACATTCAAAGTCGATAATTCGTCGATCTCTATAACTAAAGTACTTTCACAAGTGGGGCATTTCAACTGATTTGTACCTGAAATACATATTTAAATTTATCATTTTAAGATTTTGTAAATTACGTTTCGTAATTAATAAAATATCTCTAATCTATGTTGTTTTCAAATGATGTACCTGATGCAGATGAACTTATTAAAGTAATATATTCTGAATCTTGAGAAAAATGAGTTGAACATTTCATGCATTTAAAAACTTTCAACAATATTGGTGTTGTTTTTATTGTCTCATTAATTATTTCGACTATTTCCTGCAAGATGATTAAATAATACGTTAATATTATTTGCATGTTATTTATATTTCTTATTTCTTACTTTTGCAGTGTTTAGCTCTACAAAATATCTCCTGTTTTGGCGATGTTCCCGTGTGGTATCAAAAATCATATCTACTGTTACCGGTTCACTCCTGCCAAGTACACATGATAAAACAGAACTCGTTGACCAACAGCATCTCAATTTCCCAGTAAGTGAATCTCTCTCTCGAATAACACTACGATAATTATATAATAGAAATGAAAGTGTAAAATTTTTTAACAAGTATTAAAAATACTTACTTTGGTGTTATTACTAAAAACAAATCTTCCAATTCGTTTGAATTTTTCTTTTTCTGAACCAGATACAAATTCCCCACTTCTATTAAGATATTAAAAATGCAACAATTAAAATAAAACAAGTTTTTAACAATATATGCAACTGCCTCTTTATAATATACCTTGTTCTGGATCGTATGCAGGTTCGGATAGAGCGTTCTCAAGAGCGTTTACATCATTATTCAATACAACTTCAGAAACATTCTCTTCTTCAATTAATACTTTAGTTTCATCTTCATTTTCATTGTTAAATTCACTAGTCGCTTCCGTCAAAGATTGCGTATCTTTTATCAAGAGACTCGCAGAATCTTCAATACTGGGCATATTTGTAGCATCTAAATTTTCTATCGTAAATTCCGACGTTACCGAATATGTTGAAGGTTGTAATCCCATAATATCTTGAACAAATGTCCCAGCTTGACTACTTAACCACTTGTCTTCTCCATATCTTCTTCGTATTTCCAAAATCTGTTTCTTTGTTTCTAAATGACTTTTTGAGGTTTCTGCAAAAAAAAAAAAGTCGAAAAATTAATATTACGTCAACTCGATAACATAAAAGAACAATTAAATTAGAATATAATTTATTACCTAAATAAGAAATACTGGGATCTACTTTCACATCTTTTTTTTCATGTTCAACTTCCGCGATAACTGCTTCTTTTATATTCGATTTCTTTTTACTTTTAGGTAAGTTTCTTTCTATACTATCTCTTTTCTCTGGTGTTGCTGCTAGAAATTCATTAATTGTAGATGTGTTAACAGATGTAGAGAAGCTACTAGAATTTAAGGAGTTTGATAGTGAATTGAATAATTCCTTTGACGCGGATTTTTCAGATCTGATCATAAAGAATCGATTATCTGCAATAATTTGCTTTTCTGTTCTTGAAAATGACGAATGATCTAAAACAAACTAAATCCTGAAATTTTATTCACCCTTACATACATAACATTCAAGTGTTGCAAAATTGACGTTTTATAATAGTACAGCATATTACGTCTAACGTATGATCTACCTTGCTATCGCTCAAAGCTGGATGTAAATGTTTTATGGATAACAATCGATGTTTCGGATGATACGATAAAGGATTGCCTTCTAACGATACCCATAATAAAGCAGACATTTTTTCTAAAGGCCACAAAACTGAATGTTCCATCAGACAATTGTACGATAAATCTAATTCTGTTAAACATTCTAAATTTTGTATACCTATTTTAACAAAAATACTCTATAAATATATTTATGCTCTTATATAAATTATGTATATAAAATAGGTAAATACAATGATGTATTACCATCTAAATTTTCTATGTAATTATTTTTCAGAACCAGTACTTGCAATAAGCGTGATGCAGCTTCATTGAAAGTAGGTACTTTTTCAAGTTTGTTATATCCAAGATTTATATGTTTCAAATTTGGCAGACAAGATAATTCATCTGCAGACGTTATCAAGTTATGACTTAGATCTATTACTTGTAACCAAGGTACTAACTCTAAAGACGTATCCAATTTTTCAAGAGCATTGTGCGGCAATGCCAAATGTTTCAAAGAACTCCACACAAATCCAATGCCAGTGTCTCCACCACAATTTGCTGCATAAAGACAATAGTATTTGTAACATTAAATTTACTATTTAATTAACAATAGTAATTTTTTAATTATAATTACCCAACAATTGTTTCACATCAGAAACTCCTTTTCTACCAGCACAGACAATGCTTTCAAGTTGGCCTCTAATACGTCTAAGCCCTTCTACACTATCAATATTGATTTTTTTTAACTCTAGATATTTCAAACATTTAAATTTAGTAATGTCAACAGGTAGCTTAGGATTAGTTGGACAATAAGTCACTTTTAGTCCAATTGTCTTCTGTACAAAGTCATGTAGAAATTTCAAATCGTGAAATATATCAATTTTTGAGCTGTTGCATACTTGAAATGAAGCTTCCAAATCTTCGCATTCATTGGCAACCAGAGAAAAGGCTTCATTTAAATTATATAGTAAACTAGCGGACAAACAGAGTTTCCCAGATGCATTTAACACTTTTTCCCCATTCTGGTGCAGAAGTTTTCCAAGTATCATTATCTCTTGCATAACAGCTTCATCTTGGATGTTACTCATTTTTGTATCCTTTTCAATTTACAAAAGACGAAAAAATTTTAATAATAATTTCAAGATTGATTCCGACGTATCTTCATGTCAGTCTGAGAAATAGTAAAATAAGATTATATCGTATTTCTGTTATGTAATTTACAAGTGAAAGTTTCATTTAGTTATTAGTAATGTCTTGCTTCATTTAATTTTTTATACGATAAGTATAATTTTCAATTTTGTAAATGAAAAAATGAGTTTTTAGAATATATATGTTACAAATATTTTCTTTTAAATTTAATCCAATTGATTAAACGTATGTAATACAAAAACAATAGGAAATCGAGCATATTTATTGTTTTCGAGTATAAAAAAAGTAACAACGATAAACGTGGTATATTAATTTAACAACTGTGAAATAACAAGGCACTAACATGATTACCATACATTTCTTAGAACATCTGCTTTGATCAGTGACAAACACATACTTAAGTGACAAATGATTCAGGAAGTACAATCTTACGCATGTTATCACAAATAGGCAATACAAAGAAGCGTGTATGTATGCCAATAATATCAAATGATCCGTCATATAATGTTATCTCTCAATTTACTATTTTGTATGCCCTGCCATCAAAAGACAAAACCCTAAAACAAATACACAAAATATTTACAATCATTTTAATTATATTAGATAACTATTATAGCTAGTACTTTAAGATTCGCATTACTGCGTGGCGCAATACTTTAAATACATCTCTGAGATCGTTTCAATATATACATAGACAAAAGAAAAAAAGAAACAGTTAAGAAAACGTTTTTTGACCTACTTTGTGTCCCAATGGCTAATTACAATAATTTGTTTTGTTAATAATACGTCGAATGAATTGTTTCCCGTGGCACGACCTTTAGTAAAAAGTCACTTTAGTGAAATTTGTAACGAGATTAAACAACGATAAACGTGATGTGCTGACTATAATTTACATCATCGTACAAAACTGTCGACATTGTTGTCTTTATTGCCGTGTCATTGACTAAGAACAGAATAGACTCGACATATAATGCTTTTTCATGTTCGACGTTGGGGGAGTCATCTGATGTCTCTTCATCATTCTCGTAACGTTATCGACTCACTATAGCAGCGATGGTTCGAATTAAAACTAAATCTTTCTTTAAAAAATTACAAATAACATGCAGTACAGCATATATTATATTTACAATTACAAATTAAACATAGGATTTTACGCTGTACGAATTCTATTCTCATTATATCGACGCCATTGATTGAAACGACAATTTATTATAATTTGTAACATTTATTACATTCTCAATATTTCAGGCGCTGTAATTGCATAAATGACCGTTCATTTTTGAAACTATTAATTGAACGAATATGATTTTTCAGGCACGAAAGACTTGGACGATTTGGTTCGACATGTACATATGTATGTACATAAACGTGTCTGAACATGTCTGATCGGATCCGCGATGCTATATACATCATATATAAACATTCGTATCTCATTACTTATTCTTATTACTGAAAAAAACATTTGTCTGACCGTCATGAACCGTGTTTAAACGTATATAAATCCTTTAGATTGTTAAAAGTATGTTGGAACTGATTATAAAGGATTATACATAAGTTTTTTTCTAAAAAAGTTTATTACTGTACACATGTAATTTAAATAATAAGCTCTAAACTTTCTTTCATCCTTTTGATGAAAAAGTATTTCATAAATTAATAATGTTGTACGTACGCCTTCGTATGTAGTAGATATATTGAATAAAGACAAGATCTCACTGCTGATAACTCTGACAGTTACCTAGCGCAACGTTTTTTTTCTCTATTTCGATGGTAAAGTTAAATACGATTCCTGTGTACGTCGTAACAAATCAAAGAAAGCATAAAAAATACGCCTTCGACTTTTTCCCCCCAAAGTAATTTGGAATCTAAAGCATAAAATCAAATTTAATGTCTTTCTTAATCTATCCTCCTCTTAGTTTTCTCCAGCGTGCTAGATGGCAATACTAATCACTGTTTGCCACGAGATAAATGGAATTTGTTAACGGCAGTTTCGTCTCCGTTCTAATTACATTTCAAATATAAAATACTTGTAATAAAAAGTGTAGTTTCCGTAAAATTTTTTCAAATTTATTCAGGTACATTTAAAATGTACTAAACTGAAAGACTAAATTTTGGATTGACGTATACTGGATTTTTGTAATTCCCGAATATGAGAAAGGAGATTGTTATTTCCCTTGTATTTTTGTTAACTTACGTGAATGCGACCAATGATGGAAAATCAAATAAGAAGTCCTGGCGAGATAAAGATATAAGAGATATGAATGACGCAGATTTGGAACATTTGTTAGATCAGTGGGAGGTACGTAGAATTTTTTTTCGATTTTACATTTGCATATTAAAAAAGATTAACAGAGATTACATTTACTTTCATGATTTAAGAAAAATGACGAACCATTGGAACCAGATGAATTACCCGAACATCTCAGGCCTAGTCCAAAAATTGACTTATCACAGGTAATGCATTCAAAGAGTTCCTTCAAATGTTTCGTAAATTAACTTTGTGTACATATATATATATATATATATATATATATATATATAGAGAGAGAGAGAGAGAGGAAGACAGAGTATCCTTGAGTTTTATAATTTAACAGCTAAATATAATTGTCTATTTGAATACATAAATATGTTTGAACTCAAGTAAGTTTTACATAACATTTACATTTTTCCATTTAGCTTGATATGTCAAATCCTGACAATGTACTAAAAGTAACAAAGAAAGGTCGAAGTGTAATGATGTTTGTTGATACAAATGAAAATTTGTCAGTTGAAGAAGCTGAGACGATAATGAAAATTTGGCAGACTAGTCTTCAGAATAATCATATTATCGCTGAAAGGTAGTATTAATAGTTTTTCAATTTTATCTTTAATAAACAATTATGGTGTGTGATGTAATTAAATCTTCTACAGATATCCAATTGATCAAAGAAGATCTGTGTTTCTATTTCACGAGGGTTCGCAAGCTGTAGATGCAAAGAATTTCTTTTTGCAACAGCCAGAATTGTCTCATGTGACCCTTGAAGGCCAAACTTATTTCAGAGATCCAAAGAAACAGGTACAAAAATAATAATAAAAAATAATAAAAAAGGAATAAATAGAAAAGATAAATTTAAAATTTTGATTAATTATACGCGCATGTAAGATATTGAATAATTTTATTTCTTTTTTTTTTTTTAGAATGAAAAAATGGCAAAACTTAATAAACAAGGAAATAAACTAAGTAATAACAAAGATGACAATAAAAATAAAGAAGAGTTATAATTTGTAATTTACAAATTTTTTAAGAATTTTATATATTTTTATACGTGTATGTATGTATGTATATATATATATATATATATATATATTTTAGAAAATAAGTATAGAATAATTTTTGATATTTGAAACATTTTTTTGTTCATAAAGATGTATACAATTTTTTGTTATTTCTATTCAACTATTTGATAACATAGCATATCTTTAGAATAAACTTAGTTTATTTAATTAATTAATGCGAAAAAATAAAATCCTGTATATTGTTTCTATAATAAAATAAATTTACTTTATACGCAATCTTATAAATAATACTTATCAGTTACATTTTTATTAACTGTACGCTAGACCAAGTACAAATGTTAGAAATACACATTAAATATTAACAAATTCAATAAGTTTATCAATAACATCACTAAAGTGGACAGTAACAATGAATAATCTCGTGATTAATAAAAAACAATTGAACGTTTCATTGCTAAGAGTAGTAAATCATAACATCTTTTATAACGTACGATTGATATATGTGTAAAAAGTTATAGAAGATTAGTAAAGTTCATTTCTATACGTATCGAAATTACGAGATAAATGTAACAACTGATTACTTATTTAAACTAGATTTGCTTGTTGGGGGATCTAGTTGATTTGTGCTATCCATGGCTCTTACTTCTCTTTGTAGTTCTTTTACGACCGTCGCAAGTGCGTATGGATTTACGCCGTTTTCGCATAGTCGTATACATATACTTAATGTCGTAGGATCTAAATTCGTATTTAATAGCTTTGAGATTTGGTAAAGCGTTTGAAAGGTTTTGCGAGCAGCGTTTATTTGATGATGCACAGGTTCTGGCATGCTGCCTGCTCGGTTTCGGTCTTTTCTGTAACATCATGACGAAACGACAATATGAAAATAACTCGTTAGAAACACATTGAAATAGGTTTTCGCGTAAAAAAAGCTATTTCACGAATACATACTCTCCGCTGTGAGACAGTTTGGCGTCGGTATTAAATCACCGGATTGAATCACAATTTAAGAATAAAACAAGAAGCATAGGTTATGAAATGCAACGTTATTTAATTGATATTTTTAACAAAATTTTCACCTCTCCGGATGATTTAATTTCGTTAGTTAAAAGATGCTGTTTTCAGGACAATCGCCGAAATTATTTTTTAAAAAGTGTCGGATTTTGAATTTATATTCTATACAAGAAGTTGAGTTACATAAAAGGTAAACAAAAGCACGTGATCAAAATCTAGGGAAAACTAGGGAGGTTCGATTTCACAATTCCAAGATATAAAAGAGAAGATTATGTACATGCATAATTTATTGAATATTAATCGTTTAAGCAGAAAGATCAGATATGTATGTATACATATCTAGCGAGCTAGACTGAGAAAATATATCCGTTAATGCTTAATCACGTGTAGCAAGCTTATTTACCAAAATCATAATTCACTGACAATTATCGACCAATAACTGATGCGTCACGTGATTTGTATTTATCTCGTTGAGTTCGATTCAATTCCAAAATCACACATAGGTATTTACTTAAATACTTTGTACGAAATAATGTGCATTATGTGAAAATATGTTTTAAGAACAAATGAAATTAGTTATAAAACATAACAGTATTTAAAAATTACATATATTAATGTAATTTTTAAATTATAAGTAAATATTTTAGATATTTTTCTTTCATTTATATGTACACACATATACATATATTTTTAGATATGTCACGAACGATTCCCTTATCCAAATAAGTACAAGCAAGTAGAAATCATGTCTAATGTAATTTCACTATAAATCTTTCCGTCTGCGGAAAAAAATAAAATTAAATAAATCAATATTGACGTAAAAATAATTAGCTGGAATCTGTGTTATTCTAATCAATAAAAAACGTTGCGTAAGTATGAGTCTTGTAACGATTTTAAGGAAGAAAAAATTCATGATAACGACCATCTCCCTTTATTCTTAGGAATATACAATTCAGCTGTCACGAGACATTGCCCACACGTTATGAAATTTCGACGAGAAGATATATGAGATTTCTTTGATTGAATCATTCGTCGGTGCTCAACACACATATGTAATTGTTTCTCGATCTAACGAACGAACGAACGAAGGACCGGGAGTATGGACGCTACAAATTAATCAGAGAAAGGCCTGGGCAATGGACAACACGGTAATTATCGTAAACTATCGCATGCAAAAGTGTTTCTTGTTTTTTTCTTCTTCTTCTTTCTTGCCTTTTTTTTCTTTTTTTTTTTAATTAATTTTTCTTTAATCGATAATGACATTCGAATTCTACAGAAAAACTGGCAGTATAAGAATTAACAGACGTACATACTTTGCGGAGTATCTAAATGCAATGCATCACCAAAAGTAATTCCAACACGATCTGTGTAAAGCATTTTACTCTCGATAAGATGAATATATATATATATATATATATATATATATATATTCATCTTGTGGGGTTCTTGTGGGGTAAAAAGTAAATAAAATAAAAGTGTAACATGCTATTATTGAAAATAAAAAAAAAAGTAAAGAAAATTTTTCAATTACGAATTGGAATTCTCCGATGGATTAACCCAAGTGATCATTCAGTTTGAAGTAGTACAATCGTTTCGAATTTTTTGGCGATGCGGAATCAATCGCTAATCGACTCGCTTTGAACTATTAATCTATTAATCGTAAGTTCTTGTCATAAAAAACTGTTTGAAAGCTTAACTATTGAATCGTATATTCTACGTATGAACTATATATATATAACGGAATATATTTCGTAAGTATACGCTAGATATCATTACGGTAACAAATTTTGATTCGTTACTCGTGCTCTGTTACTGTAACTAACGATTTATACTCGAATCGCTTAATAAGGTGAATTCTCAAGACGTGAAAACACAGATGTTACGCTCGTTGGCTAATACTTTTTTTTTTTTTTTTCGTTGCAATTAAGTGAATCAACGAATCGTAACGATCAAAAACGATTGCGTAAACGGATATCGAACTACTTTGAATCAAAAGTAGAAACCTAGAAATCGAGCCAATTATCAAAGGTCATGATCGGTGCCTACCAGCGATAATTATATCGTTTCTGATTCGATTTAAACCGAGAAAACTATCCTTGGTTATTTAATCGATTACTATTATTGGATACTTTACGTATTTAAATTTGTACGTACACGAAGAAGTAACTAAGGGTACAAGTTGTTTACATAATACAACACGGTTCTACAAATTTTCTTTACAGACAGAAACGTGGCTTTACAATTCAACAGGATAAATTTTAAAGGTCAATAAAGTTTGTTTACGAACTATGTTACTTCTAATGTTTATGAATTGACTATGACTACCTCTCGATTTACACAGAACGTTTCAAAATTGCTCATAGAATGTCCAAAGACACTTTTTGAACAGAAATATACATATGTAATGTCTGTATAGAAAAGAAATTTGTTTGTCGTTACTCTTACTATTTCGAAACATTCTGTATAGGTTCTGATTATTCTCGTTTCGAGAGAAAACCAACTCGTTTAGACACTAGGTTTACAATCTAATAAATTCCTCGAAATTTGATTCTTAAACATTGATTTCAATATCTCTATATTTCGAATTTAATGACTGTTCTGATTTTGAAACGCATGACCGATAAGCACGCACGATATGTAACGATCTGAATTACAATTTTTTTTCTCGAAGGGAATGAATCTAGTCGAATGGTTTATGGCCAACGAAAATATGTGTAACGTTTAGTTTCGCCTACGTTCTAAAATCCATTGATAAAATCGTGTTCAATTCTTTTCGAAGAGAAATTCGAATTTCAGTTTCTTTTATTTTTGCAAGAGAAACGATTGTTTCGGATCGTTTACAGACCTCTATAGATCTCTAAACTGTTGGACAACTGTTTTTTTGAAAACGATTCAATTCGAAAAGATATTATCGATCGATTCACAACGCAGAGTATTCCCCGTTTCGTAATTTATTACTTTGCGTGTCTAAAAAAAGAAATTGAGAGAATTTTAAATAATATAATTTAAATTAATAGTTTCCCAATCGCCAAAGTATTAAATAATCAATGAATTATTTATTGTTGTGTCGTTACGTTACTTTACGGTATTACGATATATTTTATGTCCTTTTAAAACGGGAAGTACTCCAGTATTCTCCTACTCCTCATTGTCGATTAGAGACTTTATTTTTAATTATGTTTCCACATAGAAAATTATTTTTTTTCTTTCTTCTTTCCTTTTTTTTTTCTTTAACGTGTAACATTCGTTGTTTGATCCTTCCTCGAAAAGTCTCTCTCTTTTGCTTTTCTTATCGTTAGAAAATATATAAAAATTGTTCGACGTTAAATCGACTGCGATAAACACGTATACGACTGTTGGCCAAGAAGCGCAGATAACAGCTTCTTAAATCGATTTCTCCCTTTCTTCAGTTTCACATTTTGTCCGGGTGAAAAAAATCTTCCATTTAGAATTTGAAGAAACTTTCGTGCAATCTTTTCCTCCAAAAAACTTTTCCTCCTAGCTCGTCAAAGTTTTTTGTCCGTCTCCGGATGCAATTGACTTGTTCAATGAGAAAACGCAGAAACAACAAGCTGCTCTTAATCAACACTCACGGCTCGTCGTGAATTTACGCCTCGCATTTACGCTTCTCTTCCATTCATTATTAGGAACAATGGATAACGGATTCTTGATAATTAGCATACTTTCAATCTTTTTGGTTTGAAAATGACTTAAAAACTAAAACAAAAGTTCGATAAAAGAGTTTAATAAAAACGAAAAACTTTTAATCAACTTTTTAATAAAAAAAAAAGTTTCTTCAGTGAGATGACAACGCAACAAAATCTTTAATATAAACTAGAGTTATCGTTCCGTCAAAGAGAATAAGCAATTTTCTTTCATTTTCGCAAAAGATTAAAAGACGAATAATTCGAAAAATTAAAATTTATAAAGGGTCCAAAGGGTTGCAGTAAGTGACAATTCAGAAACACATACGCAAGTACAATAGATACACATGTACATACACGTGTACGTAGAGATCCGAACTGTTTGTAAGTTTCGTTTGTTCGCGAGTTATCGTTATTTAATCGCACAGGTTGCTGTAGGAACGCGCTTAGCAACCTGCTCGTTTTCGGCTCTTACACCATGGCGATGATGAAGGATTTCAATTGATTAACAAGTAACAGTGCGAGAGTGCTACAAAGAGACAACAATGGTCAACAAACGGTACTTATCCTAACTTAAGGCTCTATTTCGAGAGATCTACGATTAAAAAGAAAAGTACATGTATATGTATAAGTATACAACATTGCCTAAAAAGTTCGTGGCAAGGTACGTGCCATCACTTTTAAACGGTTCTCGTTTTAATTCTGCGTGGATCAATGATCCTCGCAAATTAATCTCTATCCAATTATAACGAATACTAATTAACATCCGCGATTTTGTAAATTGGCGTCTCGCAACTACACACAGGTACTTGGGAGACTCAAAGAGTGGGCTAAAAATTCTGATTTGTCTATAAAGTATGAGTATGTATTCTAATTACCATTTAAGTATACCACTTAAATTAGCCTATTTTGAAAAAAAAAGAAGATTCTCTAACGTTAAGTACTATCAATTACAAATAGGAGTGGAAAAAAAAAGAAATTTGTCGAAAAATTATCGAGGAACATACATTTCGGTGAGATTTCTTAGAGATTTTATAAAAATCTTGCCTTGGTATAAACGTGTTTGAAGGTGCGTGTGCAAAATTGAAAAAGATTCTCTAGCTTGAAAAGACGTACGTACTTGGTATCGTACGTACATATACCATATCGATGAAACGTGGTTATACGTTGTTGAAAAAAATGTTGAAGATCGGCAAAAGCTGCCTAACGCTGACTACGTATACGAATTTGATCGTGCAAACGCTCAATCGACGATCGAATTGTCCGAATCGTTTGGTTTTCCACGCAATCTTGTTTCTTTTCTTCAAGTTACTCGATTATTGCAATACACATGCATGTAACTTTACCTACGGATTTAATTTCTCCTAAAATTGAAACTTTACCATCATAGATGGTAAGAAATACCGATTGATTCTCTGTTATCACGCTTTTGCGCATACGATATTACATACATTCTACAAATATAATCTCCAACAAACAATCAAACCATACGGTGCAGAGGAATAGGACATACGTACACACATACATACATATGTACGTGCATACGTTATATTTGTATAAAATATTGTAACTACGTACATACGTATTTAACATGTTAAAAGGATAACAGAGTATCATTTTATTATTATTTCCTTAGATGAACCACACTATTTTCGAATACCTTTTTTTTCCAACTTTTCTTTTCAAGCACGTGAGATCGTCTCTCAAATTTAATCTGTTCATTGTTCGTAGGGTCTCATCGTCGAATGCCCGTTGCACGCTTGGATTATTAATACATACGTATGTAAATTTCTCTCGTATGTATAAGCATGTACGAAATCAAAGAACATTTTGTTCATCAGGCACAGAATGTTGCCAAATCTATCACACGTACATATGTCCATACTTGAAAATTAGAAATAAACATTACAAATGAAAAACTGTTGTTAATCACATTATATAAAGTTTTTTAGAAACATTCTGTGCATTGTTAATTGCTTCAAATCGACATTTATAATACATACATACATACATACATACATACATACATACATACATACATACATACATACATACATACATACATACATACATACACACATACATACACACATACATACACACGTACATACATACAACACACACGCACGCACGCACGCACACAACACACCTCTTCGTTCTTATCTTCGTTTTTTACATTACATAATCTCGTAGATAAAGTCATACGTATCTTTCAATCGCGTACACAGTCATCACTTAGAAAAGAAATCATAATAATTCTTTTTATTCAGAGTTTGGCACGGAATGAAACAAGACAAAATGTTTCATGTCGAAATTTCTCGTTTTCAATGTATTCTTCCTTTTCGGCAGAAAGTACTTTCCTCTATATTCTTCTCTCGAAAGAAATTCGAAAAACTCGACACTATTGGTATTGGTTGTTTATTTGATATTCCTCCTTTATAATACATTCTTCGAATCGATTTTTTGCTTTTCTTTATCCCCAATTGATTGATACAATTCCCTTAGTCTTAATTCGCATGATACACCTCGAATCGATTCCATTCGATCGAATTGACAAATTCATTTTTCCTCCCAGAAAGGAAATGCTCTATTCCCATTATAACTGGATGTTTGACAGATTCACTTTCGTGACGTCGAATACATAGTTCTTCCGCAAGAAGAAATACCTAATCCATAGCGCTCGTTCGCCACCACCACGAGCGTTTAATTGGATTAATTCTCAAATTCGTAGGATTTTTTTAAGACCTTCGTCCCCTCTTTGTTCCTATCCTTTAAAAGAAAAAAAATTTTTTTTTTAAATATTCTTCGTTTCTCCTTCCTATATATGTTGGAATCCCTCGCTGCGAAAGTTGCAGATCACGGTTTACCTTAGTCTGGAAAGAAGGTACATTTTACGTTACACGTTGTGCAATTTTGTTTTCTCTGCCTGCGGTTATATTCTAATTCCAATTTTAACTTTTCTACAGTTTTATTTCCTATTTCTAATTCTGTTTTACATTACTGTTACATTACTGTTTATTACTGACTGCGGAATGGCAGAGAATTTACATTCACGTTCATATTCGTTCATCATATTAATTTTCAGCTGAAACAACTTCATTAAAATTTCATTTCAAAAGATAGACGATGGTTTTTTTTTTTGTTTACCTTTAGCAAAAGAGCGGAGCCTCCGGTTGGTTCCACCAATGCGCCGCTAGAAGCATATAGAGCTCCTGATCTTGAACGGTGTAACCTGGAGGTGGTTGAGAAGGCAAAGGCGGTGGAATAGGTGGCAGCAGAGAGTAGGACGGCGGCGGTGGCGAAGGCGACTGAGACTGTGAGAAGGTGGTCGTGGTGGAGAGTGGCGTTGGTGGCGTCGGTGGCGTCGTCGTGGTCATCACCGGAGGCTCTTCCTTCTCCGGAGATCAAAACGCGTAATCGAATTTTGCCAACGATCGTGTAGTTACGTCATCCTGAACAGATTATACCCCAATCGATGTTTCCTTCAGAATTGTGATCATTATCGGAGAACAATTGATTTTAACATTGTGGTTGCAAAATGGACGCGACAAACCAATGCGTCAATTTTGGTTGCACCTTGTAATTCACATCTATCGAGGATAATTTTTGATTTAACAAAATTTAAAATTTAAAGAAATGTCTAAATTCTATAAATACAATACTACTTTCAATTTTGATCGGGATCGCTCGGACGAAGCGAATCTCTTTCGTCCGAGATTGCATAAATTTTTCTTTTAGAATTCCAACTGGAAGGAAGATGTTCATGGTCGATGTGACGTAGATTATTTAAAAAATTCTATCCGTCTTAAAATACTCTTCACTTCGAATTATAAACGGTATGTATCGTACATAACATTCCAACAAAAAAGACAATTTTAGGACAAAATTGAATATCTTTGGTAGAGAAGTTGTAACAGCAGAGTAAATTCACAAAGTACAAAGCGATATGTTGTGATTGAAAGAAGCACAAAGCGTTTATATTATACGAGCGTATCGATACCCTTAGACAGCTCTCCATAAATTCCTCGATCGTTATTATGCCATCCTGGTTTAGGTCGAACTTCTTGAACACTCTATCCAACTGTTCCCTCGCTTTCCTTTCCTCCTCGGCGTGATGTCGCCGACCCATAAGCTCGTGCACCGCAATCACCACTTCCCATAGCTCGCCCCTGGTGATACATCCATCACCGTTTATATCGTACAATTTGAAAATCCACCGTAGTTTCTCGTAGATGCTGCCTCGCAGCAGAGTCGATAAAATGACCAGCAGATCCTGAGGGGGAAAAGTCCGTTTTATATACGTTTCGAATCTTTCTTCTTTCTTTCTTTCTTTCTTTCTTTCTTTTTCCCTTCCTTCTTTCGCTTCCTTTCGTTTCCTCTCCTCTGAGAATTGGATATATATATATATATATATATATATATATATATATATATCAGGAAAAGGAAAAGATTAACGTAGCATGCCTGTGTTAGAAAATTTGGACAATTTGAGAAATTGAGAAACTGAGATAAAAAAAAGCTCGGAGAGTTGAAGAATTAGAATGTCAGGAAACTGAGAGACTGGAAAAATGAACCTGATAGAAGAAAGTTAAATGTTAAAAAGTTAAACTAACCAATGGACGGTTAAAAGACAGAGGATGTGCAAACGTTAGAAAAGAATAGGAATTACCCTAAAGTTCATAGCGCCATTGCAGTTGACGTCAAAGGCCTTAAACACGTAATGAGCGTAAAGACTGGAATCTGCAATTTACAAGAGTCAAGCATTGAACATCAAATTTAATCAACTAACAAACAATATAATTAAAACTTACTGCCATGAGGGAAGAATTTCGCGTAGATATCCTTAAACAGATCTTCGTGTACTACGCCCTCGGGGCATTCCTGAAAATACGTGTACCTGCATATTATAATTCATATCAAGATGAACAATGCTATTTTGTTATTTCGGAAAAATATTTATTTATTTTCCGTTCAATTAAATAAAGTAAGAAGAAGGATAAACGAAAGGAGGAAATAAGGAAACGGAAGAAAGGAAGGAAAAAGACGTGCTGTATTATTATTATTATTATTATTATTATTATTATACAATAATACATACGTATTAATTAATTCGTTGAATATAGAAACTTTCGATTAAACATATGTACGTTTCGCCTGAAGCAGGTTGTAAAACGACGAAGGAGGAAATGAGGAGGAAATGAGCCAGAGAGGATGCTCGTATTTACATATTTATGAATCGGATACGCGAGAGAGGCAACAAAAATGAAAATTCCGTACACTATACCCAAGAATGTATTCGAAGCTTACAGGTAAAGTTGCCAGATTTTCTTGAAATTACGTATAAAGTTACGACATGTGCATATAACGTAGTCGCGTAATTTCCTTTAATTTACTGATCTATCAATTTTCCAATTTTTTAATCATCGACGTTCTAACTTTTTAATTACTCGTCAAATTCCAAATTCTTTTTCTTTCTTCAACGTCACGATTTTTCCATTCTTCAATTTTCTCATGTTTTTCAATCATTTCCCCTTTCTGCAGTTTCTGACTTCCCTGAGATAATTACAACCCTCTTAATTTCTCCCCCAAACACCCCAAACATCTCTCAAACGTCTCAAGTCTCAAATTCCCTGGTTGATTTCTGCGACTTTTATTTTAGCTCGTTTAGTTTCGTTTCTTTTTTGCAAATCCAAATACTCAAAGAGATATTCTTACCGAAAATTGCACACGGAGAACAAAAAAGGTATGTACGAACATGCGTAGATATTTAATTTAATTAATATCGTTTTTTGGAAGATGCTCGGAAGAAACGAGGCGGTTAATGAACGAGGTCGATCGAACTATTCGACCGGAAGATGTTTCCTGGGACGAGGAGAGCGTTCCGAGCTTAAAGACCCTCGCTCTCCGTGTCATAGCCTCCGTGTGGAAGAAAAATCCGATACTCGAGGAATTACCGACATGCGAGGATAGAAATATGCTGATGGAAATTCTGCCTACCGACCTGCCGTTCGAGTTGACTATAAGAAAAATCGAGAACGAATATTATTGGGAACGTTGCTCAAAAGCCAGGTGAAATCTTTCAACAATTGTTCGTCACGTTCACGGTTTGAGAATAGGAAAAATTCAGGATGGATATTTATAATTATTGTCGGGAATATTGCTGAAAAGTTGCTCAAATGAAACTTTTCAAGTGATCTCCTCTTCAGTTGTTATATATATATATTTATGGTTTAAAAGAGAGATCGTCGAAAATTTTACTGGCATTCTCGCAAAGACATGAAACGCAGAGAGAAGCAATCTCACGAAATGGAACGTTTAGTTTGCCTAACCACGAGTAGTTTTAATTTATAATACTGCCTCAAGTACTGTACGTATGTTACATATATATACCTACATATATATACACACATATATATATATATATACATATACATATACATGGTATCCAGCATCGTTTCCATCTATTTCCTGTGGCTGTCTTTCATAAATTGTTTGCCCAATTCCATGTCAAATTTTCATTTCAGAAATTGACTTGAGGTTTACTTCTGCAACTGAAACTTCAAAACTAGAAAAATATCGTTATTTTCTAAAAATTGGAATCACTTTAGATGGCAACACAACGACTGCGCCAAACACGGCAATTCCTGGCGGCGTCGTTACTGCGAGGGTGCTCTTCGCGAATATTTGGAGAACCTCGAGCCAACTTTCTTTCAATCCCAAAAGGAAGATTGTAAAAATATGATTACACTTGTGCGCGATTATGTGCACACCCTGGAACTACGTTCTTTGCTACCGACCAAGTAAATCTTTCTTTACATATGTACAATACGTACGAGTACAAATACGCACATGGATCAAACGCTTACTAATCCTAAATCTGAATTTAAATGTTTTAAGTTTGATCCTTCAACTTAAATTTTATCCTTTTACCTTAAGATACAAAAAAAAAAAAACACAAATACAAATATTCACAAAGAGTATTTGCAAGAGTATAGCTGTTAAAGCACATTTCCAAAGATTCGAATCTTCCTTGCCGTGTAATTGGAATTTGTTACGTAACATAAGCCACCGTACGTCTTACATGTGCATATGTATTGCATATCTAAGATGTACACACACACGTACGCAACTATCTGCAGGAAATTTGTTCGCAGGAAGCACAAGACATCTCTGAACGAAGAAGATCCGTGTCTAGTAGAGGAAGCACCCGTCCATCATATCCCGCTAGAGCTTATCCTGCCACAGTTCCCTAATCTTGCCGAGATTCGTATTAATTTCGGGCTCGTTTATATGAACGATGGTTTCGAGTGGCGAGACTTTGAGTGAGTTGCTTTTCAAGCGGGCCACAGCTCGCTTTAATTGAATATCCTTTAACCATTTCTCGCTTATGTAAATGAAAATAAAGAATATAAACATAAAAAATAAAGGATTTCCATGGAAGATTGCATTGGTCTTGGCCGTGGGATTAAAGCTTGCCCGCGATTGAAGAAGTTTACTTTAACCAGGAGTAATCTGGATCAGCCACGTGTGGCGGCTCTTCTTCAAGGAATGCTGGAGAACGACAGTGTTGGTATTTGTAATTTCCCAATATTTTGTTTTTGACATCTCAATCTTTTTAAGCTTTTAATTTTGCAATAATCCGCAATTTCATATATTAATTCAATTTTATTCCATTTTATTCATTCCGTAATGATGCCGATGAGACAAGTTTCTAATACGAAATTCTTGCTCAATCTAGATCGAGGAGATGGACTTTTCTCATTGCAAACTGGCTGACAAAGGAGCCCTGGCAGTTGCTGAATTCCTCAGCCAGAAAAAGATAAAAATACTGCATTTGGCCAACAACGACATTGGGGCGGAAGGCGTGGCTGGTATAGTTTACGGGCTCTTAAAGACCGAGCACACGATACTGCAGCATCTGAATTTGAAGTTAAATCCTTTGTTAGACAACGGAGCGTTTCAGACGTGTGCCTGTAAGTGAGGAAAATATGTGTTAAATTGTTAACTCGATCCTCCTATGAGTCAACATTTACACTATCTACCGTATCGATGAATGAACCATCGAAGGCTACCGGCTACCGTATCTCGTAGAACAAACACACCGAGCTCTACTTTCCTCCCGTTAATCTCCAATCCAGAGGAGGTGTTTCGCCCGGAAATTACGCTGGATTTGATTCGTTTGACTTCTGCCGACTCTGTTGCCTGAATAGACAGGCAACCTGCTGTTTACCGATTTACACGTGAAACACGTCGAAAAATTCAACATTCTGCAGCTATTCTTGCTGCTATTCTTCTTTACGTTTTACTCGGCGAAAAAAAAAATGTAACATCGAGTTGGATTCGTCGACTTGATATTTGGAAAGAAATCGCAAGTGCCATCTATCATTATCATAATGATCATAATTGGAATTGTCTTTTTATTTGATACGTCTATGTATGCATATACGGCTACATATGTCGTATCTTTTGTTTCAGCAGTTTTTATTAATTTCTTGGAAAACTTCTCTGAGATGATGGGAGATCTTGGGCAAGGAACACGTGGAACAATTCCAAATTGCGTTCCAGCTATTCATTTTTCAGATCCGTTTGTTTGTTTCAGATCTGTTGAGAAGCAAAAGTTTGCAAGTTCTCGACGTGAGTGCCTGCGGGATAGGGGCTGCTGGAGGTACTGCACTTGCCGAAGTATTGACTTCCGCAAAGTCTGAGAATTTGACTCTTAACGTGTCGAACAACGATTTTAACGAAACAAGTAAGATATTCCTACATACATACACGTATGTACGTACAAGCTGGTAAGAAAACTTGACAAACTTGGCAAACACAATAATCCATAGAATTACAATTTAAATTAAATAATTTACTTATACTTTACGTACATGCAACCGAATGAGAAACTTCCAGAGAAATTTATCGCTGTTTTATTATTCTTTAATTCATTGCCACAATCATGATACGCCGTGTCATTATAATGCACACGTACGCACATATATCCTCTATTTTCTAGAGTACAATTTCAAATTAATATTAATTTTAATTTTAATTTCAATTGATCTTTTACTCAAATCACATGTAGATGTAGGTGTCATATTTTTGTTCCGAATAGAATTAAATACACACGTGTATCTAAATGTAATGTGAGAAAGTGTAAAGGTCGCTCTAACGCGACGTGATTTTATTCATTTATTTATTTATGTACGTAGTTGGCGAGTTATTTGAAAGAGCGTTGAAAGACGCTCCGTTTATAGTGGGATTCGAGGCTCGAATGTGCAACTTCTCCAGGCAATCAGAATACTCTATCCACGAGAGTGTATTCAGGTAAGAGAGAAGAAATGCATTTCGATGAACGACATTTCACTGGATTTCCCTACTTTTCAGAAACAGACAGAGAAGGAGGAAGCGAAGAGGAGACGAAGCGAATGCTCGAAAAAGCACAGAAGTATGACTCTCCTCTATTCACAGAATAAATTAACCAACTACCAAATATACCAGACACACCAATAAAGTAAAAACGAGCAACAAAATTTAAATTTAACCTGACATTTTCTTCGAATTTGACGACTCAATAATTTCAATTATTATTATTACAAAAAAGATATAAGACAAAAGATGTAAAACAAACAAATGAATGAATGAATGAATGAACGAATGAATGGAAGAAGAATTCAGAATTTAAATGTATGCAGAAAGAAATTTTTAAGGAAGAAGGGGGAGGAAAAGAAAAAGGAAACAGAAACAAACAGAAAATTTAAATCTAACCTACTTGCGCAAAGGAGAGAAAATATTAAAAAAAAAAAAAAAAAAATCATAGTAAGAAAATCACGATCTCAGATGAAAAGCTACCAAGGTAGTAGGTAGTAGCGCTTTCGATATTAGACTGGGAACTACGATAATTACTTTAAAATCAAATCCCGGCGAGATATCGGCGAAACAACTGTGACATTTCTATACAATACTCGGTGACGATGTTTGCATTCCATTGAGAAATCTTTGATCAGGCAATTAAACCGAAACCTTGTAGAAGCACGAAACGAAAACGAAATGAAAAAAGGATGGACGAAAGTGTCGGCAATAAAAGAGCAGCGAAACGAGGGTGCAGCTAAGCTACTTGGGGAAAAAGTTACGCGAGAGCCGTAGGCACGGTAATGATTACGGCAAAAGTAGGCCAGAGCTAAGACTTTTTTTTTTTTTTTTTTTTTCATTATTAAGAATAAGACGAACGAACGCGTCCGGCCGGGCGCAGAGCAGAAAAAAAGACGCACAAGGTCCAGTTTCGTTTTGCGAATTCAACCCTGCTGACGTTCTTTCTTTCTTCAATTTTCACATTTCAATCTCGCTTTCATTCTCAGCAAACAAAACGACTTATTTTAAGAAAATGCTTTGGCCATAAAGAGTTGGGACAAGGAACAAGGGTGCATATTAATAAGAATTTCTTTATACTTTCAACACGAGATTTGAAGCTTGATGGTTTTTTAAGCTTAGAAATACACAGCTGAATCGAAAATGACCGTAGCCAAAGTTAGATTGGCAGTTGCATATCATGGAATATGCTTTCATCACGTTGGCACCTTTGTGAATTTTTTTTTTTTCAGTCTAACGCCTCCTTCCACTATTCGTATTATTATAATCGTATTAGACTTGATCGTAAAATATATATATATATATATATGTATGTATGTATGTATGTATGTATGTATGTATGTATGTATGTATGTATGTATGTATGTATGTATGTATGTATGTATGTGCATGTGCATAGTATATGTAAGTACATATAAAATTGGGATAATTTTAAAAAATATCTGAAAACCTTGTGTCGTATGCATGCATTCATATAACGTGTTACGTTACATACATATACTCCAAATGACAACGTATATTTGTCCATGAAAATGGTCTACCACGACAAAAGTTTCGCACAATTTCCGATCCAAAACCATCGAGTATATATATTCCATAAAATTTTATCGACTTTCCGATTAGCTTTCTTTAGCTTTCTGGTTTTCTCAGAACCATACTTGCGTTTGCCAAAAAAGAACGATTCTCCTGTCCATTATGAGATTCCAATGCTAGAAATCCATTCCCGCTTTTTATTTTGTCACATTTACGATGAAAGTTTGCGCAGATCCGACAGCTCAATCGCAAGCTGACTGGCAAGGCAACGAATATACCTATGTAATATTATGATTATCATGACGAAGCTGGTAGCATCATCTTATCATTGCGACAGCAGTCATTGATCATCCATTGAACTTTCTTAAATTGGATGAACAAACATAATGAAACTGAGAAAAAGGTTGTCATATATCTTACTAATTTAATCGGGTTTTTAAACTCGTAGGGATTAGAATCATAAAGATTTTACGCACAGTGTAAATTCATTTCCAGGTACGTATAGTTCTTTTTGTTAATCAAATTTTATCGTATCCTATCGTATCGTATCGTTTCGAGGCTCTTTCTTCTTTCGACAAACAGCAAACGTGCGTTTTCGATTTAGTTTTTAGTCATGCTAAACCATGTCTATATTATATTGTAAATATCTTTACATCGGAGAGAGCGCTAAACTATGGCGGTACATTCCAATTACGTACACTGGACGGGACCACCGTCATTGTCACAATTCTATCCCGCAGGAGAGTACAACGTCGAAATTCAAACATCTCGTTTGAATTTCAATCGACGCGTGAATTCCAATTAAAATACAATGATCGTACAGTGGATTAAAGATGGAATTATCTCGCGAAATGGAGGATGGAATTGAAACGAATGGTGAGAGGAGACTAGGAGAAGAGTGGGTCCTAGAAACGTTGGATTCTTCACTCAAGTATCACTCAACTTGTAGTTCTCTGTGGTTAACCTCCACTTACATACGTATATCGCTGTCGTCTTTTTCTCTCTCTCTCTCTCTCTCTCTCTCTCTCTCTTCTGTTTTCTGTTTCCTTCTTTTAACGCGATAACGATACGATCACAAATCAAATCAAAAACAGAGAACTCTTCTTTCTTTGAGAAATAAAATATTACAAATACTTTGTAAATTATCGTTTACGTACGTGATGCGAGGGAATAGGCTGGTTAATTCATCGTAAAAAGTCGTGTCAAAGTCGCCTACTGAAATATGAAAAATCTCGTGCGATGCACATGTAGTGTGTCACAGACACCTATATCACACGGTACAGTTACTGCAAAACTAAACTATGGACGTAGGAGCGTGAGTTTGCTGCTCGTGAAAGAACTAAAGGTTGATCATTCAACGATATCGGGGAGGGGTAAAACTGAAATAGGTCAGAGGTGTGCGTGAAAGTTCGAAGGTTCATCCGAATTGGGAGGCGACGACTCGCTGACAAGTACAGCCTGCGGCCTATCCTATCGACCTTGGAATGCGTGCGCGACCAACGTGCGAGGCCTAAATCCTCGCAATTTTCCTAAACGTCAAGGTCTCGGCCTCGACGCGGCCTCTGTTGCTCGGCCTTCTTCGATTGCCAGTAGTATGTACATACATACATACATACGTAGCTACTACTACTACGTGCCGACATACACACGCTTACTCCCGCCACATTTCCCTTAAATAGAATCGAGTTCAATAGGACGAGCGTGCTAACGCTCGTCTAACCTTTACGCTTTCATTGAAATAAGGAAAAAAGGGCAAAAAAA